AAAAAGGAAGGAGACTACATAATCTGTTTTGTGAGCTTTGATTTGATGCGATCAGTACGTCCGTGGTAAGTAGGGCGTGTTGGATCCAATAATCGTGGTAGTGATGTTCTGTGCGCAGTGTTGTGAGCTTTGATTGATGCGAATCAGTAAGCTAGTTGTAGCGTGTTGGATAATACAATCGTGGTAGTTGATACGGAAGTCAACGTGGTATTTGCGGGAAACGGTTCGTTGGCAGGATGCTTTATCCTGTCGAATACTCCAATTTACCGTGTCCTTTTTGGTTTCGTTAGAACGTGTTCTCTGCCAGCGTTCTCTGTTCCATCGTGTTGACTCATAAAACATGACTCAATCTACTCACGGATACTCTGAGTCGTGGGAGGAACTGTAACGCTTTCAACTCCAACCGACAGATCCAAAAAAGAGAAGGCACATCCTCGCGAATCGAAGGAACACTCATGCACTCGCGAAACCAACACAATCGATCCTCTTCAACACCATGGCCAATCCTTCCGGCTCTCAAGCCGCTGCTTCTTCCCTTGCCTTGTTCATACGCTCCTCCTCCTCTTGTCCTCTTGCGATCGACTATGGTGAGTTCTTGCAGTGAGGGAAACTCGTCCTCGATCTCCGGCAGCGCAAGGATCTCCTCAATCGAATTCAACCTCTGTTCCTTTTTCCTTTCCGCTGCTAACTGCCTTGCTGCTTTTGCTTTCTCTCCAAATCGTCGCTTTCTCTTGTTCTTGACCTCCTGCTGCGAGGCTTTCACGGCATCGTCCTTCAAGTTGGCTTCGAACTTCATTTCGGCTTTCATCCTCTTTTCCTTTTTTGCTGCCAATGACCTGAACCTCAGATCGGTCTGTTTCCCGATTTGATGAGCGACTTCTATCTTTGACTCGTGGTGGAACTTCATTCCTCGTGTGCGGTCCAGATCTTCGATGAGGTGACCGAACATATGGAGCTTCGGAGGGAGGGTCGTCGACATCTTTCCAAAGAGACGCACCAAGCGTGGAACCAAGACGTCTCGGATTGAAGCAATCTCATTGTCTGTTATTGTGCCATACGGCTGATAGCAGTAGTGCGAGAGGATACTCATGTATTGGAGGATTCGCTTGAAGCCGTTGCAGTATTTGCTGATTTCGGCATCATCACAGCCCTTGGCTCTCAGCTCTTGTGGGATCTGTTTGAGCATTGCCTCAGCTGCATCCATCACTGTGTCTGCACCATGCAGCATCTTTCGGCAGTAGTTGCCAACCATTGCACCACCATGATATGAAGACCGTGAATGTTGAAAAGAGTGGCCATTTGTTCATCCAGCTGCTGTCGAACCTCCCGACTGAGTGCTCCATGCTCCTTCAACTCTTCAACCTTCCTCCGGTCGTCTTTGGCTTTTGACAACGCATGCTTGGCTTCCTTCAGTTCTCTTTGGCCGCTTCCAATGATTCCTTTGCTTCGGTTATCAGAAGGGGATTGCCCAATGCTTTCGCTGTCTTCAGTAAGTCAGTTGCTGTGTAAACTCTATCATCAGCTTCCTCCTCATCAATTATCCCATCTGCTTCCGCCCACCTAACTTCCAGCACCTCTTTCGGTCTGTTCTCAAGTCTATAGTCGACATATGAATCAAACAGCGATTTGACTGTGTTGGTAAAGAGGTCCACATCGTGTAACACCGGAGTGAGGTAGTTTTGCACCGGAATGGCATCAAAGATCGGAGGCTGTACACATCCCCGGGTTTCATTTGGCTTGGGTTGTCTCTTCTTCTGCTGTTGGATCCGTGCAGCTGACTGCTTTTGAGCAGCGATCTTTTCCCAAGTCCAAGCTTCACCACATGCGATGCAGCTTTCTGCGTTGCTCCACTCGGTCTTCCCCAGCTTACAACGAGCGCACCAATGACCACTGCCAACTCTACCTTCAACCATCAGCTGAAACTTGAGGTCTCCAACCATAAACAACTCTACATCAACCGAATGCAAGACAATGATGCCTTCCCGTCGACTGATCTCGTCCGTCCTCCCCCACTCGATGAACCGATTGGAGTCCTCGTCTTGGCAAAATACAAGCTCCGGTCCAGTTCTCTTCAAGGAATCATTGAGTGGCTTTGCAAGGGAATAGTTCAGTGTTACCGCGTTATCCTTCTTGCACTCTATGAAGCCACAAAGAAAGTCATTCTCCAGCTCAAGCTCATACTTGTGGACGTGGCCTTTGGACAAGAGTAGAATCGTCGCCACAGCACGAAAGGCTCCTTGGCCATGGTCCCCCCCAAAGACGATGTGACACTTGCGATTCTTTTGATATCTCCTCCTCTGTAAGTCTTGTTGTTGCCTTGTCCAATGCCACTTGCTCGCTTCATCAACTGGTCGGTAATGGCTCATTTTGTTTTGCTTATCTTCCTTGAACGACAGGTGCGTTGGCTGAAATACCTCCACGTCAAGAGCTTTGATCATGGAGACGGGTTGGAATGGATTGTATCCGAGTGCCACAATCAAATACTTTCGAACCAACTCAAACTGATTCTTCGATAGAGATGCATCATACAGCAGCGCCTTCTGAAGATGAGGTTCCAGCTTCGGCATCTTTGGTCTCAGCTTCTCTCAGCCACCTTCAAGAATGCTTGCATATCCAATGCCGCAGTACTCGGATGAATACTGTCCTCGCATCAAACAAAGTGAGTTCTGCTGTGGCTGCATTTCCAGCAGCCAGTGATGCCTCTAATGCCGACGGTAAGAATGACTTGACATTGTCATACAACCTCTTCTTATTTGCTGATGGAACCAGACCAACGTTCAGCAACATCTTTGCCTCACTCCGACCTGATTTATTGAATTCCAGGATCTCAGGGACTTCATTTGACAATCTCATGAGAGCAAGACAGACACAACGAAGGGCAGGGACATTCATTGGAATCCCATGCCGAGTGAGTTCTGATACCCTTTTGTATCCACTGTTGCTATGTCTCTACGTTTGTATTCTGTTGGTGCTTTGAAAGAAGCATAGTGCTTTTCTAGTTTCTCTTTTTGTTTCTTACAGAAGTATTGTTCCATCCTATCTTTCAAAAGAGCTGCACCTTCCTCATTGTTTTCGAGAGAATGAATCATTGCGGTTCCACAATGCCATCAAAAAGCTGGAGGAACGGATCAACTATTGTTGGTGGGGTAACTGGTCGCTGTGGTTGAGTTGGTTGTGCCGCCGCTGCTTCGTCTTGGTTATGGCCTGGTTGAGTTGGTTGTGTTGCAGCTGCCTGTTGCGGCAATCCATTGCCAGTGGTATCAATGGTAAGCTCCTTTGACCAGCCACTGTATTTGTTATACGCGTTCTGAAACAATTCCTTCTTTTCAGATTTGCTTGGTGGGATCTCCTCATCCTTCTTGTCGGCTGTTGAAACTCGGAGGAAGAATCTTTTCTTTATCCCTTCTTTGTGTCAGCTAGTGACACTCTCCGGGACTTTGTTGAGTAATAGGTGCTTGTCACTTTAGTGATTTTGTCTGGGATGAATCCTCTCAATGCTTCGGTGATCGGTTCATCCATCCAGGTGGTCTTGTTGAGCGCACTCTTCAGCTCGCTTGGATCATTCAGTTGTGGGAGTTTCAGCTCCCTGGCAACAAGGTAGGCCCAGTATACCGCGGGAACCCAAAGCCCATGCAAATTCCTCCTCGTTTCGGCCAATTCCAAGAACTTGGAGACCATGGCGGCATGGTGGACACCTGACATGGCGAGTAATGCTGCTGTCCTCTTGTCAATGCACGCCACGAATATCCACCGGAGCTGTGGCGACCGCGGAGGGTTGTCTGTTAGTGTGTTTGGGAGATACTGTCGCCGTCGCCACGGCTCTGGTTTGGTTTTGATGGACCTGTGTTACCTCTCCGGTGTCGAGAGCAGTGCTTTTGCCCTCTTGTTGAGGCTGTGCCGCTGCATGGCATCGAGTAGTTCGGCATCTTCACATATAAACTCTGGGCCCATTTCCTCAAAAAACTTGGCGCGGAGAAGTAAGTTGAATTTCTCGGAGAGGCATGCCAGACTGTCGAAATAGTGTACTCAACCCCCCTCGCCGTGCTTTTGTTAGGCGCGGACCCGCAACCCAATGTGATCCCCCTTCCACACACCAGCTTCGCTTCTTTTCTTCTCAGAGCTGTTGCAGCGAGCTGCAGCGTCATGCGTCATCGCTGCAGTCAAAACACACCAACTCAACACACTTGTTTTGAAAGGAGTTCTCGCTACTCTAGCTAGCTACCTGGTAGCTAGCTATTCATTCATCATGGAAGACGGTCCAAGAGAGGAGCAACAGGAAGAAGTGAACGCCCTGGTACCTGTAGGTGGACAGCAAGAAGACAATGAGGAAATTGGACATTTGGATGCAGCAGCAGTGCCTGTCCCTGATATTGATGAGTTGCAACAGGAGCTGCAACAGCTACAACAGCTACAACAGCTACAGCAGTTGTATGAACCGGTGATGATACCGGTAGTTGGTGGTGACACCAGGCTAGCCCTGACAGATCAAGAAAGACAACAGGCCATAGCCATCAAGGTTGCCATTGAGGAAACTCCTGATTTGGATTGTGTGTCGGACTACTTTTGCGCCCAGCTGGCGCTTGTGGAAGGAGACAACACAGAGGCAGCCCTCGAAAGGGCCCAACAAATGCAACATTTCCAGCAAGAGTACGATATTACAAATTCTGTCGCAAATGCACAGCACTTTTTGAAGACATTTATGAATATCTTTCCTGGATTCTACCTGTCGCTGGCCTTTAACATGACTGGCAGCAACTACACCCTCGTCTTTGATTGTGCCAAGTTCTTCACAAGGCAGCTGTATGGCGATAGAGCAGCCATTCCAGCCTGGATGGGCTCTGCTTACTACATTCTACAAGCCATGAGTCCTGATCTGGAGGCCATTCGATGTGGCATTATTTTTCTGGTCGAGTGTGATGGGTTCGACTGGAGGACCAACTTTGGAATCGGCGTCTTTCAACGCTTTTGGACTGAGGTAGGATCTGTCTATCCTATTCAATATGCTGCCTTGAAGCACTTTCATACGGGCATGTTCTTCAATTTGATATCCTCCATGGGCCGCAAATTCGTCCCTCCAGATGTTCGGCACAAGTTTGAGGTTGGACTGAATTCCGAATTTGGGAGGCTTGACAGACTTTACCTGACCCCCAACATGGAAGCATCCCGAGAACGCATGTTGGGCCGCATTTCCTATAACCTCCAGCTACGATATGCCAACGAGGCGTCTTTCTCGCTGTAAAGACCACAATGGGTTCCCTCCAACTAGTTTACACACCGCACCTCTGCTGGTTACCGTGGTACCGGTACTGCTCACTTCTCCCTGCGAAACGTTTGATGTCACACCAAACCAAAACTACATAGCGACGATGATAAATAAGCAATTTTGTTTGATAATTATCTCTCCTGATAAGGCATCAGTACCGTGCAGGTAGTGATGCTGGCGGAGAACGACATGTACCGTCGCTTGTTGGGTGGGCTATTAACAGGCAACTGTAACTGCTGTTGTTCTAGCTAGCTAGTACGTTACTTTCTTGACAAAGGCAGAGTCGCAACCTTCCAATTCGCACGCAATTTGGGGTCTTGGTCAGGACACCCTATCCAGCTAGCCAGCCAGGAAATCAAATCCGTTGCTTGGTGGCTTTGTACGAAGTTGGCTTGTTATTACGCCTACGGAATGAAAGAGGTACAGGCTAGCTATTATAGGAAGAATATGCACCAGTTTGTATCGTTTGCCAACCGCATCGACGTTGGGTGAACCGTTAAAGTTGGCAGCTTTTGTTGGGTGCTCACTGCCCTTTGTCTTCATGTTGTAATTCAAAGCAGCAATAGACCTTTCGAAGGTGTTGGGACCGAGGATTGAGGCTTCTTCCGAGTGAGAAGGTAAACATTCGCTATTTGGCATGCAGTACGTCCACTATTGCGCTGAACCGGTACTGGAGATGTGGCATAGTAATGTTTCTTATAGAATGCTTATGATGTACAGTCAAAAAGTGTATTGTGTTTGATCAGATTTGGTTGTTCAGAGCGGATAGTCGGTATTGGTATTGGTATTGGTATTGGCAGGAATATGGAAAAGGCATTAAGAGATTGGGCGTACGGTAGCACTTTACATGGCGAAGGGAATGGGCTCAAAGCCATTAGGAAGGGCGAGGATGGGACGGGGTTCAAAGGGGTCCTCAGTGAGATCCTGTCCAAAAGCAGTCACCAGAAGAGACAAGGTTTCCTCTGGCATGGTATGTGCGCCACATCGGGAGCAAGCACTTCGACCGGAAGAGTCTAGACTGGAGCAGCTGTTTTCGGAGGGAGACACACAGCGCGGAGGAAGACTCATTGTGAAAACGGGGGAAATCTTTGGCGCCAAGAAAAGTGGTTGCGTCGGAGCTTCCAGTTGCTTTTCAGCAGCGATTTGCTGGAATCGTCTCTTGGACTTGGATTGCTTGGAAGACCTGTAAGAGTGACTGAGCACATTGCGGATGGCTTGAGCAGCCGTTTGACGGGCAATACTTTCCTCAACCAAAGTCCACTGGTTGGTGGTCGGATCCTTGCGGACGAATCCAGCCAGGGGAGCAGCCTCATGGATTTCGTTGATAAGATGTGTCAGCATGAGACCCTTTTCGGCTTTGGAGGGAGTGGCGGCATATTCTTGAGCAATTGCTTCCACCATCTTATCGAACTTCCTGTTGGCACTGTGCTGCTTTACCAATCGGCCACGGCCAATGATGATGGTGTGCTCATCAGGAACAAACTCTTCTGGAAGGATGGCGGGAGTGTTGGAGAGAGGCATCTTGATTGAGTGTTGAGCAAGCTAAATGCTTGTGGTTCCTGCTTTTCAGATTGCACCTGTAGAATTTGTGAGAAGATTGGAGGGTCTGATCGGATCGAGTTTTGTTGCTCAGAAGCAATCCGAAAGCAACGCGAACAGCTAACCAACTGTTAAGCAAGCGGACCCATAAGACGCCGAGTGGGTCGCAACGTTGTCACCACTACCGGAAAATCAATGCTGGTTTCTGTCTTTTGCAGCTCTAATTGTCTAATTGGCGAGTTTGGAAAGGCTTCTTGGCACAATGTACCACCGCAAGCGTTCAATTGTTAGGGAACATGCTCGCATGAGCTGACGAAGAGCTGCAGCCATTTTGCTCCTGGAAGTTCATTTTGAACTCCCAGAAACCACTGGTTTGTTAGCTGTTTTGAATCCTTATCCATGATAAGATGGTGGAATTAAGTGTCGGTGAAGCTGATCAGCCCTGGCGCATGCTTTCAATCCGAGGCCAGCAAAGTAAAGTTGTCTTCTACCCTGTCATTAAGTTTACAAAAGTTTTCTGTTGCTATCTCCATCGTACGGTATTTGTATGGTAGATCTACGGGACTGTACGGTACGTACTCGTCATGACAGGATGTATGCATACCGTATACCACGGAACTCCTTTCTTATAAACAAGGCTTGATCTACGAAGAGGATCAAGAAAGCAACTGTGACCTGCACCGGGAAATCTTGAAGTTAATCCTAGAACTTCTTAGTGTCGAGACATGGCTCGCGAAGCAGTACAGCTGCTAATTTTTACCACAAGCACGATCGCGCTCACATTTGATTTCGCCACCAAAAGATGACTTTCGTGGTCTCTAATAATGCGATAGCTCTAGTGGCTAGCTAGCTACTAGTAGGAAAAAGCTAATACATGTAGGCAGAAGGAGATCTATGTGTACTACTTTGCGGACTAATTGAAGGCTGCTCGAGGATTCAAGGTACCATCACCAAGAACAGAATCGAAGCAAATCTTCTCCTATTTTGGGAGAAGATAGTAGAGGTAGCCGCTAACGTATTCCCAACGTCATCGAGTGTCATTTCCTTTCCTTGCTATGCAAATTCTTTTTTGGGTATCCAATGACATCGGATGCGTTCATGTCAGATCCAAAGCGCAGCTTCTGTTGTCTGGCTACTAGCTAGGCATAGGAATGATAGCTGGAGTTATAGCTCCAGAGATGCAGGACAAGCAAAATCAAAGGGGATTTCTGCTCTATGCGGATATCGAGGCAACTCTGGAGGAGCAAAAGAAACTGGAATCCCACCTGCCAGAGAAAGTGCAAACTATTTCAAATTAGATAGTGGCCGAGTTGAATTCTTGTGGGATCCAAAATGCAGTTTCTATCGTCTGCGAAATCAAATGGGAGTTTTGCTCTGCCCAAAGCAGGAATCCCAAAGTTTGAAAAAAGGAAACTGGAATCGCACCTATAGTTGTACTGTAAAGGAAAGATGCAAGCTATAATAGGGAAGAGGGAAGCAGTACCGGTAGCTGAGTGCATAGACGTAGCGCTACTAGAGCTTACCAGTAGGGTTTGCTCCAAGGATCTTCACTGGCCTGTTTTAAAACAGGAGTGGCAGATGCCAGCCAGTGCTACCGGGACCTCGGAGAGTCAATCAATCGACCAGCCAAGGCTTCAGCGCCCAAGTTGCCTGATGTACCCCACTCCTTGTCAAGATCTTCCATGACTGCCTGCTCGTTCACTACTGTATTTGTAGCTGGACTCTGCCCTGACTGGGGGGGGGGGGGACATGGCTGCTTTTTGACTATCGTTCGTTACATGACTGTGGCTTACGGTACCAGTACAAACGGTACAGCACTCACTCGACAGTGGTAACATAGAATGTCCTACTGCTGCAAAGTGCCCCGTTTCCCGTCACCTCTACTCCAACAGCTATGGCGAACGGTCCATTTACAGTATCTGAGCAGCAAGCCAAATCGGGGAACGGTGAAAAGAAAAGCCCTGTTGTGGCTCGATCATGCCCCACAAGTGGGATTGCCTCCATGGGTCCATACAAACTACTTGCCAGCTGCTCCTACTGTAGTACCAACTTGGCAAGATTTGGACGGGGCGGTGGACGTTGGATAGCTAACCTAGTACATGTAGGAGAGGTGGAGTTCTTATTTGTATCTTGATGGCAAAAACGCTTACACTTGGTGAGTACCGGTAGTCTACTTGAGTACTTGAGGATTCTTGAGTTGTTACAGGTGCATATAAAACAAGTATAACACGATACTGTGTAGTCTCAAAATTCAACCAGCGAATGATCAGTGGTACGTCCAGAAGGGAACAGTATGGTACCTGATTAGTTGTGCAGTAACTGTTGTGCAGGTACAACTTGTACCTGTACCATGGTACTGAAAGCATCGGATGAAAAGCTTGTCCGCAACCTTGACACAAGTTTGTCAGTCAGCGTTCGCTCGTCAAGCAACGCGCCACTGTACACACAATCCCTTTTTTCTCCCAGTTTCAATGCAACCCAACAATCTCCAGTAACTATTCGCTCATTGCTCTTGCTGCTGTGAGCTGGCGAGTAGCTCAGCTAGTAGGAGAGCTAGGGTACCGGTAGGGTTCCTTTAAGCTGTTGACTGGAGTCTTGAGGAGAATTAGTATTGCCTCACAATTCTCAACCTGAGCAAACTGAACTGCCTCCACACAAACAAAACCATCTGTACATCCTAACATGTCTGCCATCTCCAAAACCCACCGAGTCCGTTTCGCCCCCGAGGAAGTTTCCGCTGTCTTCGTTGTGCCCCGCAAGACAGAGAGTGAAGCCATGACACTCTTCTACCAACCAGAAGACTGCGACCGGTTCCGCGGCGAAGCACAACTGGAAAAGCTTGCCGCTGAGCTCGGCATGGACATCCAGAACACCATGGAGTCTCTGAATGACCTTTCCCAATTGGCGCGCTATCAGTTCAAAGGCTTGCCTGCAATGCCCGTTGCTCCCATTGCCTATGGCGCTTCCATTCCACCTGCCGCCCGTCCACACTCCAGTTCCCCTCGCGGTGCAAAGGGAACTGCCCGAATTGCCTAGAGACCGGACGCAACACATGCATGGGGAACGCTACTGCATTAGAAGACTAGAAGCAGACAGTCTTGCACACAAAGCAATACAGCAAACAATAAGCAGGATGGTTCTTTCCATCTTGAAGATGTACACTATGATTGTAATTTCAAGGCCAGCAAAACAGTTGGCCATTTTCTCCCTGAAGAATGTACAAACAGGACGCAGCCCAGCATGGCTGAGCAACGTAACCAAAAATACAACACACAAGCTCTTAGCTAAATAAATTACTGATGCTTACAACTGCAAGACTCCGTGCATACCACCAGCGTTCTCTTCAACTAGCTAGAAGCTACCCCGAGTATTTTGATGGCAGCATGCATGCATCACTCATTGCAACGAACCATGAGGTTGGAAGTCTTGAGTTTGGACATCAGAACTTGTCATTTCCCGTTTGAAGCCCACGGTACCGTACCGGTTCCTGTAAGCCCGGCAAGGACAGAGCAACCAATGGCCATGCCCAGTGCACCGGCTGTCTTCACACGGGCTCTGAACAGCAACGCTGGCAGATTCCAACTTGAATAAAAGAATGCTGGAAAGTGTCAGAGAATTCCCTTGAGAGACGGTATGCCCATGAAGCCGCCTTCACTTTATCATAGTCTTCAAGCTGAGTATTCCAGCGCAGGTCATCAAATTCTCCAGATGAGCGCACGTTACCACGGGTTACCGGTAGAGGGGACAATGGGTGAGAGTAGAGTGGATGCCACCGGTGGAGTGCAGCAGTGCAAGCACAACCAGCAGGCAAACAGACAGAGGACAGGACCACAAGCATCCCCCCAATGGGGCCAGGGAAAGGGGGTTGATGAGAGGAGCGACACTAGCCATGCAGTGCTCATAGCATACACAAATACAAATTGAAATGTATGCCTTTAGAAGATATTATGCATATTGAAGTGAAAATGAATTGGAGGGAGCCGGTTTAATGAATTGGCGGTCTGATCCGCCCCTTTGCTTCGCCTAGGACCACCAAGCCGGAAGCGACACTCTGCGGATCATGAATGAACTGCATGGTTGCCTTTTTCTTACTCGGAAAACTCAACTTTCTTTGCACGACCAGTCGCGACCGGACTGGTAGGAGGATTCGGCGTCCTGGAGGATTGCTGGCGGGGCTTGCATGCCTTGTTTGTCACCGTCTCATAAAAGTCAAACTCGCCCAGCTCAAAGGTACAGTTGTATGCATCAGCCAACTTCCCCAGGAGACTAGCTGAAACGGCGGCTTTCGCAGCCGCCGACACTGCACGTGGGGAAGCAAGGGCAATCTCGTCCGAAGGGGCCTCCACAATGGAACGGAGACTTTTGCCACTTTTGGCGCTCGAAGTGCTCGTCGGACGACTCCCGGGGCCTTCTTCAATCATCTCCAGTTCATAGGAGGGGCCCAAGAACGGCACAGTCCGCACTTGTGTTGCCACCTTTTCGAGCTCCTCTTTTTCTTCCGCGGTCAACTCTTCCAGTTCTTCCTCGGATGACGACGCGAGTATTTCATCGTCGTACTTGTAAGCAGCGGATGACGTGGAAGAAGATGTCGATGAAAGGGCAGAAGAGGAGCTGCCCTTCTTCTTTCCAGGAATGTCCCGTCTTGAGGCGTCGTTTCGATGGCAGGACGACAAAGGACCCATCAAAGACAAGACAACCGGCAACAGGATCAATCCGTGAGTGAATCCAAGCACAACCATTGCTAGAAAAGCCCAAAATACTGTCATGAAAATGTGTGTTGTGCTCAAGACAAGAGGGCATACGCCGAGAAACGTCGTCAGCCCTCCCACAAACATGCTGGCACCCATCGTTCGAAGCGTATCCTTGACTTTGTCCTCTCGAGTGTCTCCATCTGTTTCGTAGTATCTAAGCAAAATGTGGACCAGAAAATCCACCAAAAGGCCGATTGCCATGCAAATGATGACATACGTCAGACTATTGATGTCTAGACCCATAAGCTGCATCGTGCCTGCAAGAAATGAGATGAGAGGCTTGATCTTGGCGCATACGAAAGGATCGACACGCACGTTCACTTACCCAAAAAGTTGACGTAAAGGACGATGATACCAGGGCAGACGAAGAAGATGGCCGACCAATGTGGGATCAAAACAAAGCTCACGAACGTTACAGCAATTACACCTGGAAAGAGACGAGGATGACGACGACTTAGTCATTCTGATGTGGGAGATTCTGACACGGTGGCAAGATAGATAGACACTCACCTGATACAATAGTAAACAAGAGTTCATCGACGGCTTCGGCGTAGAGTTCCCAATAGAAGAAAATCGGGTCAAAACTGAAGAATTTCAAGTCTTCCAGACCAGAGTTGATGGGTTGCTCCCGACTAACCTGCCGCTGACCCTTGAGCATCGCAATCTGATCCTTGACAATTGTCAAGTCCAAGTTTCGCAAGAATAGCAAACATCTCGATGCAATGATATCGCCCGTCTCTTCGTCCACGACAATATCTTCTCCGTAGATCTCGCGAATAGTTGGGTTGGACAGAGCCAGACTCATTTTCTGGTTGAACGGAAGATCCATTTCCTCGATAAAGGCGTATTGAGGAAATCGTTCCGCAATCTGATCAAAGTCGCGGACCCAGCAGAACGGCGCTTCTTCCCCAATCTGCGGGAGAGCAGCCAGTTCATCCACGTAGTCTCGCATCTGCTGTTGCATCTCAGGATCCGATTGGTCGACGTCTCGAAAATAGACTTCGAGTGGTTTGGTCAAAGAGTAGTATTGATCCAATGAATAGAGCGTCCCTCGAAGGTATGAATCCGCAGGCTACAACGATGAAAAACAAATAGTGAACACATTTGAACTTTCAAATGCTGCCCGTGAGGCAACCTTGCCAGATACGCCCGAGCAAGCTGTACGTACCGTGTAGTCTTCTACATTGAACTCTTGCTTCAACAAAGTAGCACGATATCCACAAAACCCAAAGTAGGTTGCAAAGACCAAGATCACCAGTAGTTTCACCCATGGACGCATCAGCTGGTTCCCATACCAAACCATGAACCGCTCGGAAAAGTGCGAATGCTTGCCTGTTTCATAGGATCTCGAGAGCCCTGACGCGTAGCGGCTTTCGTCTTGGAAGGTTTCTTCTTCGTCATCATTGTTACGACGACCACGACCGCGGCTGCTGCTTCTGCTACTACTGCTGTCCACACTGGAACTGATGATAACCCCCATTTGAGATTCGCAATCATCGATATCCACAGGTACTGTTCGCCAACAGCACCAGTTGCGCCGATAGGCTTGTAAGCGTCGTTCATCCAGCGACAGGATCGCCACGAAGTAGGTCAATTGGAAAAAGTAATCCACCACAATGGCTGAAAAAGCGTACCAACAGAGCCATTTGACTCCTGGGATGGAGCTGAAGCTTCCCAGAATGAACGCCACGGAGGTCGTGATCGAGGTAAGAGTAATGGAAGTGCCCACTTCATTCATGGTCGTCTCAATGCGCCGTTCGACACTGTGATTGGGATTTGTTCGAAAGTAAGACCCCGTTATGATAAATGTGTCATCCAAGCCCACTCCCATGATCATAAAGGGCAAAATTTGTGCGATGTTGGTAAATGGGACACCAATGCACCAAACAATCCCATAGGACATGGCCAACGACATGCCAATGGCCAGGAGGGAACCGCATCCAAGCATACCACGACTGTAGACGGGGTGTCGTTTGGAAAAAACGAGAGTTGTAAAGATGACCAGCACGAGAAAGATTCCCGTCACGAGAGGCAAATCACGAATCATGGCACGTTGATTCTCAATCTTGTATGCATAGATGCTGAGAAAGTCCAGCTGGAGCTGGTTGGTTTCGTCCTCCTCCCATGATTCTTTCAAGAGCTTCAAGTTTTGCAAGGCACGTGTCTCAAAATCATCCGCTTCTTCTCCCGCATCGGGCAGTTCCATGCGAACAACATAAGACTGTACAAAGTGCAGCCGCTGGGAATGATTGACTGTGGCGAACGACCCCGTGTCCGACGAAAAGACCAAACTCGTATTGCTCATTTCGTAGTTTCCCAATATCATTTCATGAAAGACAGGTGTGCTACCATCTTGATAGGTGGAAGCGCTCATAATGTCCGTGACATTCTCGTCCGTTTGGACCTCAAGGTCAAAGAGCGTCTTGTTGTGATTCCAAAAGCGTGTGGCACTGAAGATGCGACATGTGTTAATGCCATCGTGCGTCATGTAGGTCCCATGACTGCAAATGTCGTCGTATCCAGGCGTGTTGCGAACAACATCGATGGCTTCAAAGAGTTTTGTGATTGGTTCCTTGCCCAAGACATTGGAACCATGATTGTGAATAACCATCAAAACAGGTCGGATTGTCTGAAAGCCGCTGTCGTGGACCAACCAATCGGAATGTTTGGTCGGCAGCGAATTGATGGGTGTAAAGATTTCATCGCTATCGACAATCAATTGAAAGTTGGTAAAGAATCCCGTAGCCAACACGGCCAACGAGACAAATGTCAAGCCACCAATCCATCGGAAAGGATTCCGAGCGGCGCTGGTACTGAGCGAGACAACCATGCGTCGAATGGCCGCATGGAGAACGTCTTCCGTGAACCATGTCCAATATTGACAGCAACAACACAGGAAGCGTTTGTTGCTTCGCTTGGACTTGGAGGTTCTGGAAAGATCGGTGGATGCCGATTCGAACGTTCGTGATGGGACCGCCTCACTGGAATCGCCGTACTCCTCGAGTTTGGCGTGTCGATTGCGGTAGTTGGTGTATCCCTTCTTCTTCGAAGATGATGCGTTCTTGTCGCGTCGAAAAAAATTCCAGAGACGATTCTTTTGCGTTCCGCTGCTAGTGCTACTGGTCGAACTGCCACTGCTGCCGGAACTGGAACTGCCATTGCTGCCGCTCGAGCTACTGCTACTACTGTTGGCACTGGAACTAACGAATTGAATCCTGGACAAATCGGCCTTCTCGTCATAGGGTACCTCGCTGTCGCCGGAGAAGACGCTGGTAGGAGACGAATTGTCGAGAAGCGATCGTTTGCGAGCGGCTGGCACTTTGTCATCATCGTCATCATCGTCATCGCGTAGTTCCGACACTGTTTCTTCGAGATCGTCGGTCGTTTGTTCCGGAATGTCGTTGTCGTCTTCGTCATCGTCTTGCTCGATTTTAAGGACGGTCGTGTCCTCTTCGCCCTCTTCTTCGTTCAGAGCCTCGAGGACCTCGATTTCGACCTGATCATCTTCCGTTAAGCTTTCCCCGTATTTATCTTTGGTATAATTGTGATCGGAATACTGCGTCGAGCTACTTCGAGTATTAATACGAATCGAACTCGACCTCTGCGTACTGCTGCTGGCACGAGTATAACTCGGTGTGCTCGTTGGCAAGTCGGAGGAGGAACGAGTACTCATTTCTACCGGAAAGTCAGATTCCGATTGAAGAGTGGAAATCGTAGCAGACATCTTGAGTTTTATATGGAAGAAATTTTGAAGATGTTGGAGATTGTCGTGTAGGATATCTGTCTGTGCTGTGCTGTCGAGTCGAGAGAAGCGGCGTCTTTGTTACCCGGCCATGGATACTCCTGCTTGTATGCTATGATCACTCGGAACAAGAGGCTTTCCGTAGTGGTTGATGGACTTATTAGTTGGTTGCGGTTGCCTCGTGGGGACGAATGGTGTTTGCAATGCTAACTTGCCAGATACCGTAGCTTAGCGATCTACCGGTACTAGTACATACATGCTTCGAGGGATCAGTTCCGCGTGATGGCGATACCCAAAAGTCTGTAATCGGTTTAAATTGTGACGGCCAAGCAACTGTCAGACCAGTCATGACTTTCAACAAGATACTTAGAACGAGCAGGCGTGATGCTAGATCATTCTTAGAACACAATTGGCATTAATGACTTTGACATGTTTCAGGATCTAATTGCGATGTCTCACCATTTCAGCGATTAGGAGCACCTCCGGTGAGCTGGCGGCAACAACAGACAGCCAGTCGGGATTCGATTCAGTCGCAATGGCGACGTACAGGTTAGTGCAAAAAGCCAGCAAGGAGGTTGGAGGAACAGGTGCCGGTGGTATGACATACCACTACGGTAACAGCAAGAGAAACTGCAACCAGCAAGCATCATGGTTTGTTGTAGAGCTCCAGCCTTTCTACAAGAATGGTTCCGAGTGCTCATCTTTCGCCCACAAGGGACCATTCTGTACTTGCACGGTGGCATGGTGGTGGGCATATTTTTGGGACGTGGGCATAGCTTTGGGCTCGCAGAGCTGCCCTTTTCCTTCTACGGTACAATGATGTCATGACCCGTCGGGACTTTGTCAGTGTAGCATTCGATGACAACCCGGCTGATTTCAACGATTGCTATGACATCCTCTTGTGGGCGAAGGAATAGTCAACAGGCTCCACAGAATGGAGATCAATTCACCCAGAATATGGCGGGAGCTAGACCTACCATATTTGATTCTGATGTGAACAAGTCTTGTTTGGGACGGATACCTCAAGGATCGTACATGTAGTAAGGAACAACCGGCGCCCACCCACACCTTTCCAGCTGTTACCTACTTGGGCTTTTCGGGTTGCCTACAATTATGAAGATGCTCGGCACGTTGCCCGTTCGACTTCTTACTAGCTCCGCTGTGTTATTAATACTTCTAAAAGGAACACGTGTCCCTCCGCCATTCTTACAAAAAGAAGAATTGGTACCAGGTATTGTACAGTTTCTAGGTAGTAGAGTACTTTTATCTCTACAGTCACTCGCAAATGTTGCTCTATGCAGCCTTTCAAAGTAACTGTCTTGGACTCCTAGTGTCTCCTCCTCGCTACCGGTACACTGTACTCATACAGTCATACAGTAGCACTCTACTCGAGTACTAGTATGTATGCGGAATTGATGGAATTGGTAGCAGTAAATCTACATATTTACCAGTGAAAATTTAATGCAGAATCCTAGTTCCTAGTACTGTAGAAGTGTAGCTCTAGTATCGCTAGAATGTTCGGTAAATACTGGAGGAATGGAGTACTCGAGTACAGTGCAGCCGTACAGTATTTTGCCCTTTAACAGAATTTAGAAAGATCCTCACTGGAGAGTTGAAAAGACTTAAGAAACGTAAGTGATTTTCAGTCACATCAAAGTTAAATGTCCAGCTGCAAGTACTCATAAGAGTGTCATTATCTTGAGTCCACAAGATTTACTATATGCATACTTATTCCCCTTGTCGTTAAGATCACAGCGATTCGTTGCTCTGTATGTGCACGCACGAGTTCTAGTCTACTAGTAATAAACTAGCTAGACTACTGTACGGTAGCTGAAGCATCTTTGCATGCACGCATGCACAGAATCGAATCATACTGTAAAGTACCGGTACCGGTAGAGGTTCTCAAAAGTTAGTTATATCCTGGCTCCTGATTTTTTAAAAGCCACCAGTGTACATGTACTAGTACTTTAGAAGTAGGATGGCATCGTACCTATTTTAAAATAAAAAATGTGTTTGGAAATTGGTAGATCTACATGTACAATGAGACGGTCGCATTCTGTTTCCTCTTCCCTGCCTGTGGAGCATCCACATGCAGGCAGAACAAGGCAAAAACTTTTCCGTTGGCAAGGCATGCATTGGAGGTGGCATAGACAATGCCATTCAATTAGTTTTGTTCCCTTCAGACTCATTGTCATGTTGTAGAGGAAAGAGATAGTAATTTGGCTGAGTACCGGTACGCTATATGATATTTTCAATAGTGAGAGTCTAAAGTGTCTGAGGTTTCAAGTTTCAAGCCACTGGATGCTTGTCCTCAGATAGATTCTCGTCATACCTTACAATCTAATATGCAAGGTTAGAATACTTCACAAAGGACTGTCTGCCACTGGAAAGCTGGACCCGGATTATCCAGAACAAGGCAATGACGCGGTGTTCAAATTCTTTATTCAATCCTCCTTCCTATAACCTATAATACTCAGTCCACAAAGCCACAAAGGGCAATCGCTCCAGAAAACGCGAAAACAACTCTAGCTAGCTAGCTAGCTGGAGCTCCCTTGGCCATTTTGAAAATAATTTTGGAGGGAAATCCTGCTTGCGAAATCCTGCTTGAGGGTTAACATCCGGAACATTGGGTATTCAGGCTGGGTATCTACCATTAACACGTTAGGCTACTAGTAGTATGAGATGGGCACAACAACTGCACGGCCCAGCTGCCCTACATGCTCCCTTGGACATTGGTACTGGTACCGCCAAGAACCCCCATCAACTCGAGCAGCAGGTGTCACTAATTGGATTTGTGAGAACCAGTATGAACGGCACAGGCAGTCAGCTAAAATCTATTAGTCTAGTACCGGTACATGTACAATTGGACCGCTCCTACCTCATTATTTTATTTATTTTGTGACACCAGTGAGCAAGAAGAAAAGGTATCAGACTACTTAGCTCCGATCAGTTTTTTTGTTTTGTTTTGTTGGAGAGGTATCTAATATCTGATATCTTACAATCAGGCAAGAGCTAATCAAGAGAGAGAGATAATAAGAGCTAGCTATAAGTTAAGCTAAGTCAAGCCAAGTCAAGTCAAGCCAAGGAAGCAAGAGATCAGCGGAAAAAGGAGAATCAAGACCATCAAGACCATCATAATAAGATAAGATAAGACAAGACAAGAAGACAAGAAGGAGAAGATGTCTCAACATGTTGCGAATCTGATGCAGCAAAAGCCGGCTGAAACGGCTCGACCTCCCAATATCACGGAAGAAGTGGACGTGGATGCGTCTGATTTGAGTTTTCAAATGGCCGAGGCCAAATTCAACAAGGAGATGAACGAGAAGGGTGTTTTTGACGAAGATGATGACGATGATGATGATCACGCGAATGGAAAGAGTGGTGCCAACACCCAGAGCAACAATACGATCAATACTGGCGGTGGTCCACCCAAAAAGCGTCGTACCACCATCAAATTCAACCCTGAAGTTACGAAACAAGGAGCCGGTGGTGTGAGAGAACCCATCTTTCCTCCGTGGACCGCCTTTACCGACTTTGTCTTTCACAGTCTCGCCAAGATTGTCACACGCGTTGCCGTTGCCGCTGCCAGGCGACCCGTTCCTGTCATTCTATTTGTCACGGTTCTTTCCATTACTCTCGCAGCTGTGGGATTCTTTACCAATTTCGAATTGATTTTGGATCTAGAACGAGTCTTTGCGCCCACTAACAGTCGACCTGGTCAGGTAAGATAAAGAAAATAAAACTACAAAAGCGAGGCAAAAAAAGCTGAAAAAGCAGAAAAAGGGGGGCTGATGGCATGCTTCAAGAAACCAACTTTCTAAAGTTGGCAATGCTACAGTACCCTTTTTTTGGACCGTTCCTGAACTTACCAACCATTTATTTCTCACACACTTTTTTTTTGTCTCATTATTTATTTTTAAGCACTACGAATGGATCCAATCGCCCGAAGGATTCCCCGATCAAACGCGCAAGGTCATTCTCCTCTATCACAACGATGGGGGCACCATTCTCACAACGGGCGCCATGGATCGAGTCTTTGAGGGAGTCACTACCATTCGCACCACACCAGGATACCCCGAACTCTGTCAAAGAGGCGTTTATGTCGATTTTAATGGCAATGTCGATTGTCGGATCATGTCCGCCACGGGCTACTGGACCAATCACTCCACGCAAGTATACCGCAACGAATCGCTCGATGACGCAGGATTGCGCGAACGCTTGAGTGGATACGAATTTGCCAGTGGTGCACCCGTCTATCACGATGCCATTCTCGGAAATTGGGAACGTGGCGAAGGTGGAATCCTAACATCGGCACAATCCTATCTCGTCACGATCGATATTCCCGATATTGATACAGACGGTGTGACCAATCAGTTTGAAAAGGACATGCTCGAACGATTGCAAGATTTGCGCGAAAAGTATATTGCCGAAGATCAAGCTTCCGGAGTGTCCGTGAGTACCATGGATGTCATGACGCTGTATGCGTACGAATTGGAATATCAGCGTGCCATTTTTGGAGATTTGTATTTGGTCGCTGTCGTGGCCATGTTCATGTGCGGATTCGTCATGATCACATTTGCGAGATTTGGATTCGGAGACGATGGCGGACAAAAGTCGCGAGCATTGTTGGGACTTTCGTCCGTTTACACCATTGGATGTTCCATGTTGACGGGAAATGGACTCATGTTTTTGATTGGTGAGTGCATGTAGTGTGTATTGTATTCTTTGGGTTTATTGTTTCTTTGGCAGTTTTGTTTGTTTGTTTATTTCTCATTCTTCTTTTGGCTCGATTGATTGGAAATAATAATATTATCATCAGGCGTTCCGTTTACGACCGTGACGCAGATCTTACCCTATGTCGTCATTGGAATCGGGCTGGATGATACCTTTATCATTACGGGTGCCTACTTTCGGACGGATCCATCCCTCGATATCATCGACAGGATTACCATCACCATGGAAGAAGTCGCACATTCCATTTTACTGACGACCATCACCACTACCTTTGCCTTTTTGCTCGGGCTACTCTCCAGTCTTCCCGGAGTCGTCTGGCTCTGCATGTGTAAGTATACAACGAATGAAGGAAGATTGCGTTTCAGCCACTTTGGGGTCGAGATTTGTTAATTTCAAACTCTTACGAATTTCTCCTTTTTCACAACACAGATGCGTTCACTACCATCGCAATTGATTTCGTGTACCAGATTACGGTCTTTACGGCATTCATCGTGTTGGACGAACGGCGTATCCAAGCTGGTCGATGGGATTGCCTTTGCTGTTTCAAGACACCACCCAAAGAGGAGAAAGAGCTGGAGGTGACCAACGTTGCAGATGAAGTCATTCCGGAGGATGCCGAATACAACCCAATCGAAGGACGCGAAGCGGACAATGGTGATGCCGGTCGCCGCAGCAGCAGACGCCACAGCGGCAAGAATGACCAAATTTCGGTGCAAATGAACAAGGTAGAAGCTCGAAGATTGTCCCTCATCGGCGACCACACGACACAAGAACCCGCCAGTCTTGGTCTACCCGAAAGAATCATGGCCAAGTACGCCACTTATTTGTTGACACCGATCGGAAAAGGTCTCGTGCTACTTGTCTTTGGTGCGTTCACTGGTATCTGTGCCTGGAGAGCTACCTTGCTGACACAAGATTTCAAGTTGGGAGACTTTGTCCCGTCCGATAGTTATCTGCGAGACATTCTCTATTCCTTTGAAAGCTACGCATCCGTCATCCGTCCATTTGGACTCTACTACCGATACATGGACCAAACCGATCCTGATATTCAACAACAAATGATTGACTATTTGGAGGATTTGGAAACGTTGCCAGAAATCAGCAGCTCGATTCCTGTAGACTTCAGCGGACAGGAGGATTTCGTCTTGGGCGCCAACGTTACCGAAATCCAACCATTCTGCTGGGTTCGTGATTTCCGGACTTTTGGTCCTATTATTGCGCAACAATATCCCCAATTTGTCAACTGGCCCTTTACTACGCAACTAGCGGCAGCCATGCAAGATCCCGTCATTCGTGAAGTCTACGGAAGCGATATTGTGAGGGATGAGGATGGAAACATCACCGCTTCGCGCTGTTGGATTTTCCTCTCCGGATTGGATTTGAATTCCGTCGATGCCCAGCTGCAAGTGTTGCACGATCAGAGAGAAGTTGGAGCAAGGCAACCATTAAACAAGGCTAATCCAGACAATTGGCGGATGTTCCTGTTCGATTCGATCATGCTCTATTGGGAAGCCTACGATAGTGCCCTGCGAGAGTTGGTAAGTTTTGTGATTGACTGTGGAATTGCACCCGCTCAGTGGAAAACCTGATCTGACCATCTGGATACTTTTGGCCGACCGTGCCCTGTTCAGTGGTTTACAATCATCACGGGAATCCTGTCTTTGGCCGTGATCTCCTTTTTGCTCATCCCTCATTGGACGGCGACCTTCTTTGTTACGCCCTTTATGTGCATGCTCTACTGCAACTACTTGGGTACGCTTGGCCTTGATTCGCTTCGCAAGAGGAAACCGTCCGCTGAAACTAACTTTTTCTTTATTAAACATGCGCATCATTGATCCCCACAGGAACGCTCGAATTGCTCGGTTTGCATATCAATGGAATTCTGTACATCTGTGTGGTGGTTGCGGTCGGTCTTCTGGTTGATTTCCTCATGGTGCGTTTTCCGTGGCTGGCTCGACGTGGCAAACATTCATCCTCCTTTTCTCATATCTTCCTCGACAGCACATGCTTCTGCGTTACTATGAGACCTCTGTGAGGAAAACTCGTGATGAACGCGTGAAGGAGACTTTGGAAACCATGGGTGCCAGTATTCTTTTGGGAGGATTCACCACTTTCTTGGGTGTGATCCCACTCTGTTTCACGACAACTGCGATCTTTCGGCTAGTCTTCTGGGCTTTCTTCGGCATGATTACATTGGGAGTGCTTACTGGACTCATCTTGTTGCCAGTCGTGTTGTCCCTCATTGGCCCCACTACTGGATTGGAGGAGCATCAATCTGCCGTCGCGGCTCAACGCGAGAAGCGTGACTCTCGTGTAGTAACTGTTGGCAGGATGTCTTTGATGGAACTTGCCGAGACCGATGAAAGTGTGATGATGGCTTTGAGAGAGTACGAAGAGATGGAGGAATCCGACCGAGAGATGTCTGGTCCACTTGTGATCCCAAAGAGGCGAAACACCATCACGGACGTCGAATGCTGAGTTCGCAAGGAGACTTCCCCCCAGAATAACGCAACGCTGGTGCCATCTTGACCGTACATACCGATTCGCGCACCTTTTTACGTCCCCTACATGTTTCTCCGATTCGCCAAGTTCATCTTCGTGGGCTGGCAATGCGTACCGCATGTGTAATTCATATTTAAAAAAGTTAGGAACCACACAGGAATACCTGTAATCCGATTCAGTTTCTTAGATTCTCTTACAACGGCTTGCCTCAGCTACTGCCTCCAAAACTCAGTTTCCCTACTCTCAAATGATGTTTTTCATGCAGACCCGTATCTCCATTGCCCTTGTGAAAGCTACCCATTTATGTCTCCGTGGATCTCGCAAAGCCAAACCATTTGGCCCCCGTAATGGTCCTCCCTTTCTTGCCCCTGATCCCACAGAACCTAGTCCTGAATTTCTACTGTTCTTTGCTTAAGCCTGGCCCCGGCTGGCTTCCGTAGATAATTTCCCTACTCTAAACCCCCTTTCTCACTACAAGGATACAGGACACAGGACTGATAAAACAGTACGTGACTTCATCCCGGTTTTAAAGACTTAAGACTTTTCTTTAGGAGGCGACCGGACCGTCATGCACTTACATGTTGTACCGGTACCAGGTACCGGTAGATCTACGGTCCAGCCACAGAGACAGGAAGATCTTCAGCACACAAGGCAAGCCACGGGCTTGGGTTTGTTTGTTTCAGCGCAGTAAATGAGATCTAAAGGTATCATTGGGTGTCCTAAAGTTGCCCACTATTCACCAAAATGCTCTGGACATCCATTTTCTCTTGCCCACTGCAAGATGTTTGCATGCCCTCTGTATTTTGCTACACAAAGTGTCAGCCCATCCCAAGGGCATCCATTGTCTCTGGCCCACTGTAGCACTTCTAGGTGTCCAAATTGAGCCGCCGCCGCACAGGTTCGAGAAGACCATGGACATCCATTGTCTCTGGCCCATTTCAAGATTCCCAAATGGCCACCTCCAGCAGCCCCGGCACAAGTTAGCGCATCCCAAGGACAACCATTGGCTCGGGCCCATTGAAGGACATGCAAGTGGCCCCCTCTGGCGGCATCGCAACAGATTTCTGGACCCCATTTGCAGCCACCACGCTTTCGAGCCCACTGAAGGACAGCCAAATGACCACCTCTGGCAGCTGCCGCACAGATGCTGCCAGGGGGGAAGATCCCATGATAGCGACACCACTTCACAATGCACAAGTGCCCACTCGTGGCAGCCGCGACGCAAATGGAAGTGTCCAATGGGAATCTTTTGCGGTGGGCCCATTGTAGAACCGCAAGATTTCCCCGTTTGGCAATTTCTTTGCAGGCAGAACGAAATGCCGGAGTGTTGATGTTGCTCTTACCGTCATGATGCTGCAGCCAGTACTCGGCACAATCAACAGAATACAACGCTACATGAGACAGGGTATCGGTGCTGGTGGCGCGGCGATACGCGAGACGGGGAGTTAGTACCACTTTGGGAGGATTCTTTTCTTGACTGCAGTATTCCTTGTACAGTTTATTCATTGTTTTGTTGACTGCACCGACAAAGGCATAGTGCCCCATGCCCAGAAAGGGAAAGATCCAGCCAACCCATAGATCAGTGGGATCCAACAAAACTGATGTCGAGGGGGGAGTTCTGTTTGCGACGGGAGGATTGGATTTGTCATCCTCCTTGCTGCTCCTTTCTTGCTGCTCCTCGGTATGGGGCGTTGAAGCGTTCATCTTTCTCTGTTTTGGAAAATTTGAATGCTCAAGAGACGCGTCCATGCAAGCTAAACTTGGGTCCAAGGCCAAGCTACTAGCTAGTACTCGTATCGTACGATACCCGTACCGGTACTGAAAAGCAGACGTGGGGTAGCGGGATTTGGCTCGTACCACCTTCGCTGTGTGGTGGATCTAGCTACCTGGTAGATAGAAGCCATCATGGCGAATAATAAATCCAGCAGAGCTAACCACGTCACAGTCTCATTTTTTCCCGGAACACTCATTGGCTTCCTGTGGGTTTTTGATGAGAGAGATGACCATTGCTATCAGATCAGCCAAAAGAATGAAGCCTTGGCTCAGAGTACGGTAGAAGGATAGATGTTACAAATTATGTATGAACGACGTAATGGAGGCTTTCAACTGGACTCTTTGGGAAGTTTGGTTCAACCACTCTTTGACAGCCAACCTGACTGTACCGGTATATGATACCAATTCTACCAATCTGACGGCTATTAATATTACCAACGATACCATCGTAGACTACGATGATGATGATGGCTTTTCTGGTGACAGCGTGATGGACGAGTCGCTGACATCAGACGACAACGTTACCACTACGACGAGTGTGTACGAAGAAGATATTGTTTTACTGAGGGATACCTTTGCTCTCTACGGGAGTCTCTTCCTGGCTGGCTTTTTCTTTTTCTGCTGGGCACGGCTCAAGTACCCAGATGTCTACTTGGTCCGTCGTCCCAACGAACAGCAGAATCAAAACGCACAAGAAGAATACCAACACTATCACCAGCGCCCTCGTGTAGATCCCAGCGTCTACACGCCGTTGGCATCCAACTCGTATGGGTTCCTGAGTTGGACGTGGAAACTCTTTGCCATTCCTGATGACATTTTGATGCAAGAATGCGGTCTGGATGCTCTTTGCTATCTGCGGCTTTGTTCCATGGGATATCGATTGTCACTGACGGGAATGTTCACCGCCCTTTGGCTCATGCCCGTCTACATTACCGCCTCTTCCACGGATGCATCCAACTTTGACAATCTCGCCGAAGTCACCACGGGACACATTGTCGATGCATCACCTCGATTGATTGCCACGGCTGTTGCCACCTATTTTGTGTTTGGACATGCCATGTATGTCATTCTCAAAGACTTGGAATGGTTTGCACAAACCCGGCATGCCTTTCTCATGGCATCGCAACAAGCCCGCAACTATGCCATTTTCATTCGCAATATACCACCGGGGTGGAGGAGCAATCGGGGATTGCGCAATTTCTTTGAAAAGTCACTCCAGGGAGCCAATGTGGTGGAAACACACATTTGTATGGGGACACGAAACTTGAAAGAAAAGGTGGAAAAGCGGGAGTGTATTATGGAGAAACTGGAACATGCCGTGGCCAAACTGGACGAGACGGGGAAACGACCCAAACATCACGAACAGCAAGCCTTGTTGCCCTCGGGTGTTGTTCCCAAGGTTCCCGAAATTGCCTTGCCGATTGGACAACAAGTCGATTCCATCAATTACTATGCCAATACACTCCGAAAATTGAACCAAGACATTGCCAAACAGATTGATATCCTTCAAGAAATTGCCAAGGAACAACCAGATGATGTCATGTTTGACGACGACGATAATGATGATGACGACAATGCAGAAGAAGAGGGCATCAACAACAACGAGATTATGGAACGGGAACAACCAGCAAGAACAGGCGACAAATCCGACAACTTGTTTCGAGTATTAACGCACAAAACGGGGGGTGCCGTCAAGCAAGTGGTCAACGAACAACTCCAATTCACAGGAGAAGCAGCAGGCCTGGTCACCAGAACAGCCACGGATGCATTCAAGCTGGTCCTTCCGGATCAAGACGGGCATATCTACAGTGCCGGTTTTGTGGTGTTCCAAACTCTGTCGACAACTCACGCGGCACGGCAGATGCTGCACGATGAAAAACCATACCAGATGGAAGTCATGGAAGCACCCGATCCCGATGATAGTAAGTTTATGGTCTACGAGATGCGAGTGCATGCATCTGTCTGTGATCCCTTATATTCTGGGTCACTTGCTTTTTTTTTAGTCTTTTGGTTCAACGTTGGACGTGAACACAAGGACCTTCAGGTTGGCCTACTGATATCAGTCGCCACAGCTGCAACAATCTGCTTCTTCTGGACCATTCCTGTTTCGTTTGTCGCCAGTCTCTCGTCAGTGGATTCGCTCCGGCAGGAAGTCGATTTCATTGATGATTTACTTACATCAGCGCCGTGGATGGAAGGCGTCTTTGCCGTCCTGGCTCCTCAATTGTTGGTCATTCTCAACACACTGCTGCCCGTCATACTGGAGTTTGCCACCAACTTTGAAGGATCCATATCGGGGTCGATCGTTCAATCTTCCTTGTTCACAAAACTAGCTTCCTTTACAATCATCCAGGTCAGTGCGTGCTTCTTGTTTCCTGGGCTTCCAAGTGTTTTCAGAGCCAAACCCTCACTAGCCATGCTGTGTCAGACGTTCTTTGTCAGCGCCATTTCAGGAAGCATCTATGAGGTAAGACGAGAAAATCAGAAACACGGAAGCGATCATTGCCGCTCGTTGCCCACCTTGTCGCTCGCATCATTTTGTTTGTTTGCAATGACAGGAAATTCAAAAGTTCGTGCAGACACCGGGGACCATTGTCGAGTTGCTAGCCACCAGCCTTCCGACTCAATCTACATTCTTCATCCAAATGAGCTTTGTCAGCACGTTCTCAACATGGTTTTCAGAAGGCTTGGGGGTTGCACGCATTGGCAAGGGTATCTTGAGGTCTTGGGTGGGGCCGCAGCTGACAGATCGGGAGCGACAAAAGCATTTGTGGGGCCTCCGCCCTCTTTCGGACCCAGAAGACTTTCCGTATGCCGACAATATGGCTGCCTTGGTACGTTCGTATAGTGACAAACACGTCACGCAACTTGCCACATCTTGCTCATATGGTCCTTACCTTGTTTCACCTACCGGTACATGCAGGTCCTGTTGTACATGATCTACTTTGTTTACTGCGTTATCGCGCCACTCGTGAGCTTCGTTGTGGCGTGCAGTTTTCTGATTCTCGAGACTCTGTTTCGACATCAATTCGTTTATGTCTACCCCAAACGAGCAGACTCGGGAGGGAGGTTGTGGATGAACTTTATCAAATGCCTGACGGCGTGTATCCTGATTGCAGAAATCACGAGTACGTTTCCTTCTTGACGCTCGTTGGCCCGCCTCTGTGATGTATACTTGATGTGTTCTGCCTAACGTAGCATCAACTAACAATTGAATTCTTGCAGTATTCGGTCTCATGGCATTGAAAAAGTCAGCGATGCCTACCTTGATGATTCCACTATTGGTAGTGACATCGATGTTTTCCATTTACATTCGCAATCAGCACTTTCGAGTTGCAGAACACTTGCCAACGCGGCTCTGCTTGAGTCAAGACTATAGGAATCGAGATCTGGACATGGGGTTTGTCAAGGATTGCTATCTACAACAAGAAATGACCGAGAAACAAGGTAAGCAGCGTTGAGTTTAATCGTTGCTTCGGAGACATGCATCTGGCTTCTTTTGGTACTGACGGAGTGCTCCCCCCTTCACGACATCTCTTGTGCTGGCATATATTTGTGAATCTCCTTTTCAGCCATACCAAACCTGCCCCCGCAGCGTTTGAGGGAACTGCATTTGGGGAATTTGGACGAAGAAGACGGCGAAGAGGAGACGATGACGCTGGACGAAAGAGCTTCATTCGAAGAAGGTGTTCACTCGTTCACTACGATTAATGCCAACGGCGTTACTTGTCGTATTACAAAGCTCGAGGTTCCAGATGGTATATTCTGGGAGGGAGAAGAAGAAGAAGAAGAAGGGGAAGATGTACTCGAGGCAAATGCCTGACGGCGCTAAACTTGTAGCTAGCTAGATTGTTAGTCAGCAAGATTTTCGGCACAAGCTTTGAACTACTAACTAGCTAGCTATTGTACTAGTAGAGTGCTAGCTCCTCCTGTTTTGGCTGTTATAGTGTTCGTGTTGACCACCCAGAAAGCTGAGTTCAGTTGGAGACCATCGTGCATGGTGGATCCAAGAGGAACGAACGGGGTCTGGATTGTCCTTGCTTTTTTGACCAGTCCCAGTTGACTCGACTCGACTCCCACGCCACGGTAAGCACGCAAACCATACAACCGCAAGGACCTGCTGGGCACACATTCTATTAGATGTGAATCAACTCAACTCATCACCACCGTCGCTCACCGAAACAAACCCCACAAAGCAAGCAATCACTGCAACTAAGACCAAAACAAACAACCATGTGTTTCAAGCCAAAGCCTCCCACAGTCTACAACATGCCAGATCCAAGTTCTTTCGATAGCCCAAAGAAGGAAATCAAGAAGAAACATGATGACGGACACTACTTTTTGGGTTGCATTTGTGACATGCGAAGGGCTGTCATTATTCTGGACAGTCTTGGAGCTTTGGGCTCCGTGATTGCTTTATTAGTAGCTGTGATTCTTTATGACCAGTATGGAATCCAAGAGGAAGGCAAGGAAGAGGAACGAATAGTGATGTGGGTGGACGGCTCATACAACATTTGGACTCTTTGCTGCATCCACATTCTTGTGATTTACTCCCATCTAAGTGGAATCATTGGCGCAGTTACCTTTCGAATATGCCCGCTGGTCATTGCCATGTTGATTGAGATTGGCTATGGCATTCTGGCCGGACTGGATCAGAACTGGATCAGCCTGGGAGTCTGCATTTTCTTGTTGTATCCGCATATCTCGCTCTGCCATGATCTTTCCAGGGGTATCTTGACGAACGAGAACTCTCATGGAGAGGAGCAGAAACATCTGTCCTGTTGGTATGTATAGACTAGTAGTAACTTCAACAGCCAAGTGGGGAGAGGGTCCTTGCTTTGCATTGTTTTTCTAAAGTCCAGCTTCAGGCTTTGTGCGTGGTGGCGACCCCGAGTACAGTAATCCTTGGCCTTAATTTTTAAAATGGAACAACAGTCAAAATGAAAAGTTATTCTAAGATTTGGATCTTTCATACAAATTGAATAGGTATTTTTAGGATTCCATCAAAATTTGCTCATTTTTGGCTTCCGAATCATCAATTGATCGATGGTGATCTTGGCGACCAAGTGAGTCTCAACCCACCATGACAACAACCCATCATACCTACTATATCACAGTAATAACTCCCCAACAACAATTGTAACCAAGCTAAGCCATGGATGAGTCAACAACGATGGAATCAAGTGTTACCGGCACCCCTGCACCGGTAGGCCCAGCAAGTCCAAGTCCATCGCTGGAGTCGTTCGTGGACCAAATTTTGGCTGAAGCCCTTTCTGGTACTACTGTTTCCTCGTTGGAGCGCATGGACCAATGGCTGGGAATCTCTGTGTCTGATGATGATGATGATGACGACTTGGAATTGACAGTGGAGGACTGTGCGCCCTTTTCTTCCAAGCTGTACGAGCTGGTCTCTTCCATGATCCTGTTTGCGTGGGATCCCACTGCTAGTTCTACTAGTACTAGTAGTACTGCCGATTCTACTAGTGGTATGAATGGCCTGAATGTCCTGATTGAAGAGCTGTATCATCTGAAGGAGTCTGGAGTGACGCAAGAAGAGGATTTGATTCAAGCCATCACTTTGCAATGCATTCCTGCTATAAGAGTCACCAAATGGATCCGACATTGGATGGAGTGCAATGTGGATGAACACTCTACTAGTAGTACTAGCAATAGTACTACTACCAATACGTCCTTTTCCCACTACTTGCTAGTGGGACAACAATATACCCCACACTACTCTGAGGCTCTTTTCAAATCGTTATTCCTCCACATGACACTGCTGCCTACCTATCAATCCCAACTCTTACTCTTCAATCAAGCCTTTCAACGAGGAGATTTCACGGGACAACCAACGCTGCCAAAACACAAAAATCTGCTTCCCACTACTACCACCACGACAACAGCACTGGCAGACCCCACGCATCGCTTACGACATTACCAACGAGCCCAACAATTGGCACAACGACTCACACAAGAATACAATGATCATTTGCAATCCATCGAAGCCATTCTCGGAGACTGGTACAGTACCACTCCCACACTCCGTCCATTGGGACGGTCCGGATTGGGACGAGTATGGCTCAAATTTCAATTGCAAAATACTTCTGGCACATATGCACCTAGTCTACGAGGAGAGAATACCAGTGCCAGTGGTCTCGACGTCACCTTACGGGTGCTCTATCGCATCTTGTTGGGAATGCAAACGCACAACAACAACAACAATCCAAAAGCAACAAGCACCACTACGAGTACCATCCTGGAAGAATTGCTCTTTCATCAATTGCTGCCGTTGCATCAACCCAATGCCATGGTATTGTGGCGAGATCAGACCAGTTTGCTGGAATTGTACCACGAACCATTGGTACAATGCATGGCACACATACTCAAACAATATCATCCCAATCATGTTGCACCCGTCTGTCAGGCACTCTTGATACCCTCCGAGTCAATTTGGCCCGTGGGAGGAAATACACCCAAGCAAGTATTGCTGCTTCATGAAGTCGATACCTATCTCGGTCTTTTACTGCCCCAAAACGACAATGAACAACAAGAAAAAGAAACACAACAACAACCACAACCATTTAACCCAACCACCTTTGGTTCCATCTTGTCCACCATTGCCCAGTGCATGGCATCGGAGCACTCGCGATTGGCCGAACGGGCACTCACGCTATTTCGAAATGCAGTTTTCAAGAACCTAGTCATGGAAGTGTACTACGCGGAATCGCTCCGAGTGCTACTCCCCGCACTCACGCGATCCTCTTCCAATACTAGTACCAGCATGGGTGGTAGCAACATTCCCTGGAATCCCACCGTCCGAAAAATGACCTTTCACGTATTGAAGAATCTACAACAGAACAATCCCGAACAATTTGCCAGCGTGACTGCAACCATACGATTTGGAATGGCGGCCGAACCAACGACCCCAACAGACATGACGACAACAACTGCTTCCACCACAAAGTCGCCGCTTCTAGCAGGCGCAACCTCCTCCGAGTCTTCCTCCTCCTCACCGTCGTCCATTCCGGCCTTTAACCAACGATTTTCACTCCAGGCGGGAATGGGCAATTGGCGGCCACCGTCGGCCAAAGGGCGGAAAAATACTAGTAATACCAGCATGCCACCGCCATCGGCGCGACCTCCGCCCCCACTGAGTGTCACTGGAGTCGCTCCGTGGGCTCAGAGCAAGAATAGCAAAGTACCAACTGGCGCACGAAACAATCCCCCTTCCACTGTCACCGGTGTGGCACCATGGGCCGCAAAACCGAAACAAAATCCACCACTGACCGTAACGGGGGTAGCACCCTGGGCAACCACAACAACGACGAGTCGCTTGCCTCCCGCTCCCAAAAGTCACAAACGATCGGGTGCTCCGACACCGCCCGCGGCCATGCCGCCACGACAGAAACTTCCGCCGCCATCGCCGCCACAACCAGAAAAACCAAAGGAAGCATCACCATCCTCTCCTCCGTCCATTCAAAAAGGCGACGAGAATGATGACGACGATAACAACAAGAAGCCGTCGAGCAGCACTTGCGACAATAATCCCGGCCTGGCATATGTTCTTCGTTACATGGAACAATGCAAACCACCAGGGATGGATGAGAACGAAGACGAAAACGCGTCATCGTCCTGGTCCAAGGCCCAAATGTCCGAAACGCCCACGCTCCTACCCGACTTGAAATTTCACGATTTGGTCTTTGGTCAAGAATTGGGACAGGGGGCTTTTGGGGTGGTCAAGTACGCCCGACTCATTGACCGGAACAAAACGCGGTCGCAGTGGCCCGAATACGCCGTCAAGATTATTGCCACGGAAAAAATGAAAGAACTGGGCTACGAATACGGTGTGGCACGAGAGATTGCTTGCCTGCATTTGGTCAGTCATCCCAATGTGGCTCGACTCGTATCGAGTTTTCGATTTCAACAAGGAGCCTATTTGGTGCTCGAGTATGCCAGTGGCGGAGATCTGCATCAATTGTTGCAGAAACACGGGTCGTTGGACGTTCCGTCGTGTCAATTTGTTCTTGGCGAGGTGATTGCGGCACTGGCGAGCTTGCACGACGACTTGGGCTTTGTCTACGGTGATTTGAAACCCGAAAATATCGTGTTGAGTGAAACGGGGCACGTCAAGTTGACCGATTTTGGGGCGTGTCGTCCATTCACCGCAAAGGCAAAGGAAATGCTACAACGACAAATGGGGAAGAGTGGCAAGAATCTGCTAGGCACACTGCGAGAGGGAGACCCACGGAAACTCAACAAGCCACAACAATTGGAGCAGCAGAGCACTCTCGGCGGTGTCATTGAAGAAGACGAGGGAGAGGAAGAGGAGTGCTCTGGTTGGATGTCAACGGACGATGATGACAAGGGAGGCGATGGCAAACTCATCAACGATGACACGATGCAAGTCGTGGACAATAGCGAGAAAGATCACCAGTCAGAAGAAGAAGAAGAAGAAGTAAAGGAAGATCTCCGAATTGAAGGAACTACCGCCTATTTGCCACCAGAAGTGGTCATGGGAGCCATCCCAACACCAGCGGCAGATTCGTGGGCTCTGGGTTGCGTGTTGTACCAGTGCCTGTCCGGCCGGCCACCCATTCTGGAAGCGGATGAAGCCATGACTCGAAACCGCATTGTGACGTTTGAAGCTTCAGGAGGTGACGCGTCGATGGGAATGAGCACTGTTGACAACGACCCCTTGTTTGGAAAGGACCAAAAGCACGCCGCTGACATTACCGAGCCCGCCAAAGCTTTGATTCGAAGCCTGCTGGAACGAGTATCGGTCCAGCGCCCGAGCATGCAACAAGCCGCCCAACACGAGTTCTTTGACGGTCAAAATGTCCTGCAACTATATCAGAAACCAGCGTACCCGTTGGATGTGGGAGGTGTGGCACCCGCTCCGCCAGAAGCGCAGTGGTCGCGTCGACAATTCAGTTCCATATGGGCCCCACAACCTCATGCCTACGACATCAGTGGGACATCAACGCTCCAGGGAACGAACCGATTGGGCGTGTCGTCGGCGCCGATCGTGGAAGCCGACGAAGTAGGGTCTTCGTTCTCCCACACCCACTTTCACAGAACGGTGATGGCGAGCTCTCACACGAACAAGAACGGTGACAAACCCACCGATGACGCTGGAGCGGAAATCACTGGCAGCACGGAAATCAAGTCGAATGGATGTCTGGCACCGCTACCACAGATTGAGGAGGATGACGTTTCCATGGCTTCGGCAGACGGCTAATCTCTATTTCCTACTACTAGTAGCCACCATTTGAGCACCAACTTTTCGACAACATGGTGGCTGGAGCATGACGCAGAGAAACGATACGGAGGACCTGGCTTCATTATTTAGGAAATCTCTTCTAGCTACAACCGTACTTCGAATCGCTATCGTCTAGAACAACACCGATGACTAGCTAGTCAGCTAGTGGCATGACATGTAGAGAATGTGTCCTCCACAAGCTACCGTGCCGTGGATACCGCTCCTCTGGCGCCAGGGCTGGCTATGAGCCAGAGGTCTGGATTTCAAAGTCATTGGAGTACCGAACGCTTCGAGAGTTACCAGCACGACGAAGGCAGGGAAGGCTGCTCGGAAGAGCAACCCATGTTACGTTTGACGAAACAAGCCTACCGGTACGGCCACCAACAAGCTAACTAACTACGGCACCAGCAAGGCAGCCCAATGACGAGACGGTGAGTTAAAGGCCGCAAAGATGAAAGCAATTATCCAGCATGCCGCCACAACATCAGCATGACAAAATTCGACCATGCTATCTTCCATCAACCATCTTTTAAACATTTTTTATTCCAAGCTCATACCGTACCACACAAGTACAATACGATGAACCAAGGGAATCATACATGTATAATGGCAATTGAGTGAGCCACTCAGTGCGTGAAATGCAAACAAATCGTGGATTGTAAAAAAGTCGAGCCAGCCAAACACCGGATCATTTCATTTCAATCACATCATCCACAATTATTGTCAATTAATTCCACCACTCCTCTGTTTCTGCATTTTTTATTTATTTCTTCTTGACCAACGTTGCCGAGAGCCAGTCGAGTCCTTCGTAGAGACCGTCTCCCGTGGTGGCACAGCACGCCTGAATGTACCACTGACGGTAGGACGGACGCAGACCGTGGAGTCCGAGCTTGTCCGTCATTTCTGCGGCACTCATGGCATTGGGCAGATCCTGCTTATTGGCAAAGACGAGCAAGACGGCATCCCGGAGTTCATCTTCGTTGAGCATTCGGTGCATCTCGTCACGGGCCGCATCGATACGATCGGCATCATTGGAATCCACGACAAAGATCAATCCCTGCGTGTTTTGGTAGTAGTGACGCCACAAAGGTCGAATCTTGTCTTGACCGCCGACATCCCAAACTGTAAATGAAATGTTCTTGTATTCCACAGTCTCCACGTTGAATCCTGTCATGCAAAAATAAATTAATAGTAGTAGTTCTCAATGGTTAGTGATACCCACGAAAAAACAAAATGATACCCAAAGACAGGAAATCCTCCAACAAAATCAAAAATGATACTGATTACATACCAATTGTAGGAATGGTGGTCACGACTATTAAACGAAAGGAATAAAAAAAGACAAGAGGTGTGAGCTATCCATTAAGAGAAGCCAACAAAGCGAGATCCAAAGAGGCGCAATAATTGGAGATAATGGGTATGGGTATATACCCACTCACCTTCACCAAGCTTGAGCTTGTACAGGATGGTGGTTTTTCCGGCAGCATCGAGACCGACCATCAAGATGCGCATCTCCTTCTTGCCGAACTATACAAACAACAATAAGAAGTAGAAACACGATCGTGAGATGACTTTGCCGGGTAGTGTAGTAGTAGTGCACCGGGCAGGACCCTCCAATAATACCCTGATCGTCCGTCCTCTTCCACTACACAGATAGACGCAGATCTCTTACCATTCGCTCCCATACTCGGGAGAAGGTGAGACCCATTGTACAAAACTAATTCCTCTTCTTTCCCCTTTGCAACTGATGGTATGACCTCTTCGACAACAAAGCCAAAAAAAGACAAAGTTTGCCGTTTGGCTGTTTGGCTGCTCGCGAAGACCGCCCAGCTGGCAAGATCTTGGATCTTCGAAACGGATCCCGCCGGTTTGATCCACGGTGTTGACGTAAGCAAATCCCCTCTTTTAAGAAATGCTCACCCCAGGACACTCTACCCCAACGACGATCGAACACTTACATGTCCAGCTACTTTTGCGCCAGAGCTATGCATAGTAGCTTGTACTGAGTAGAGGATATCAGATGTTCACACTAGCTAGCTAGAGAGCGAGTAGTGTGGAGTTGCGGAATTCGATGCCTGTTACACTGGCACTACGCTGTAGCCAGCTAATTGCCGCATCTTGGGCGGCCTACTTGGTAGCTACTAGAGCTATTGGTAGCTGTGCTGTCACGAGAAAACAATATCACACTTGTGGATGTTTAGGAGAGAGGGGGGCGAAGCTTTCACTCGCAAGGGGGGCACGGTGAAGTGCGGGGGGGGGGGTTCTCCACTGCCGCGCTGGCTACACGTACAGGTACGCGAACCTCACGGAAGATCCGGCAACAAAACGAGGATCTACGAGGTTGTACCAGTAGCAAGCAACAATACTAAAAAGCGAGAGTGGCAAGCGCCCCGTCGGTCATGGGGGAGGAGCTGAAGTCAAGTAAAAAGGAGGGGACTTTGAAGCTTCTGCTGAAGCTGATGGAAACGTCGGCGGGAGAAGCATGACCCCACCAGGACCACATATTCGCAGATCTCGTTTAGGGACTCCACAAAACCAACCATGACACTATTAAGACAACTGATGTGCATGCTTACATTCCACATCACAATCAGCATGAGAGAGGTGTCTATGAAAAGTTCTCCTCAGAACCAATTTCATTCTCCGTATCCTGGTATTTCGCTGGAGTCTTGTTTGCTGGGCACCCAGATATGGTAGAATGAGCAGAGCAATGCAGCACTCCCACATGCAAAGACCTGGTTGTGTGTGTTAGTGAAGCTACAACTACAAGTGATGTTGTACCGGTACAAGCACATCTTGATGGATCTGGTATTCACCTGGTTCACAGCTTTGAAAACCATCTTGACTTACTGGCTGAAGGAAGTTGCAATGTGAAACAGGAGGATAACCACATGAACTGTCCAAACAATCTGCAAGGGATGCTGGGTAAACAGACAAATACGCCACGGGCCCCAAGATTTTATCCATGGGACCCTTGGCCATGGTGACTTGACAAGATGACTGACTCTGGTCACGAATCAGGAGGCATCTCAGTGGTCCAAAGTCAGGTGGACCATTTTATGCCAGTGGCCTGGTCTATGCTGAGGATAACAGCATTGGACAAGAAGATGCCTCTCGCATGCCTTCAGTTGACCTATTTGGGCTAATGTTCAAGTTAATGGTTTGGAAGTTTGGAAACTATGGAGATATCTAGCCAGGAGGCAAACTTGGCAGGGCTGATCCCCAAGGCAAGGACACAATTTAGTGGACAATGGAAGCACCCTGCTGATAAACCCACTCTCCAATAACCAAAAATTCCATAGCACCTGGATATGTAGATCCCAGGAGGTAAAACTCAAAATGCAGTCAAAATGAATCGTTTTTCTGGATTAGTTCAATCGGACAAAAGGAGGAAGCGGTGGCCTTTCCAACAGGATTAGCAAGCTTGCAAGACAAGGATAGTACGGAAACCACCTTCAGGCCTTCAGGAGGCCCCGGAGATCCGTATGGATAGTGAGGCCCCAAAGAGCCCAGTCAGCCTGGATAGTGAGACCCAAGAGGAAACGGTGATCAGCTGCAAGGTTGGACCTAGCTTGGACTCTTCTTGGACTCGGCAAAAAGCATTTAAAAAGCACCACACAAGATAGATGTTAGATGTTTGCAGTTCGCAGTTCGCAGCACAAGATGTCCCAGTTGGAGTCATTGATTTGTAAAATGGCTTAATCTCCCGCTAAACTGGAGAAATTCCCTCTAATGCTTGGCTCTGGGGTCATTCTTTCGGAACTCGAAGGAAAATTATCTGATAGGTCCTTTTCGATATCACCAGTCTTCCTTCTCTTCGTATCTTGAACTGCACGACTGTGCCACGGTACTTTGACTTTGAGCTTCCCACTGGCACGAAAGAAGATCTCAGTACCACCCACTCCCAACGCTCCTACAGCCAACTCCTTTCAGCCCCGACCGCCATTCTCCCCACTGCTGATACCCACTTTGTCACCCCCACCAACTACTCCATTGACACCCAGCCCTATACACCTTCACGGTGGGCACACCAATCCCTTGCCCTCAATCTATCTACCCACTTAGCACAACACTTTCAACGCGCTGTTACACGCCAAGCTCGATCCCTCTATTCCTCCGGCTCATCCCCGTCCTCAGTCCTTGCCGGTCCATATATGCCTACTTCACGCCCAGAACCCCTTGACCCCTTCCCCTACTTTTTACAAGCGGACGTTACCTAGTACCGTTCCTTTCACGTAATCCCCTTTATAGTTATTTATTTTATTTATTTTATTTATTTTATGGTTACGTGTACTGTAGTCAAACGAACGAGGAGTTTTCGAAAGAAGCAGCTCAAAACGAGTGTGTGGTATTATTGCCGCGGTCGAGCTCCTGCAGCCACCTTTCAGAAGAATCTCAAAACTGAACGAAACGATGAATGATCAGAGCACGGCTGTCGGCAGCGAAGCCACGACAGCTACGATAGCAGCTGAGAAGGGAGAGCAGGCAGTGGGCGACGCAAACGCTATCCCAGGGGGGAAAGCACCTGGTAGCAAAATAGACGATACCATGGTTGAGAAGGAAGGAAAGAATATAGCTAAAGGAAAGGCGCAAGATCGGCAGAAAACAATGGTGAGCGGTGCAAAAGCAAAGGCACAACAGCAGAAGACAATCGAAAATGAAGGGCAACAGGATCTTGTTGATGCGAAAGAGAAGAATACCGCCGACGACAGAAACAGAGAACTACATCCCTTCTTGAATAGTCTAGCAACAGACGATGGTTCCCTTGTAGGCACGGAGACCGGCATTTCGCAATTGCTTTCCCTACCAATGTCACTGCCAGAACCGGCGCCACCAAGACCAGCTGAAGAGGGGCGGCCAGGGGCTTTTGCCGTGCGTGTTAACCCAGGAGTAACAGCAGGATCGGAGAGTCCAAGTCGGAACAATCAATCACATCATCCAAGGCATCAAGACCCCACCCGGCTTGCCTCCCAGGAACCCTACACTGCAACGGCGAGGTTGGTCACAGATCAGGACAACGCCGATAGGCTCAGGGCAGAATTGGAACAAATCAGGTCAGCACCCACAGCAGAGGTGGTCAGCACAGAAGAGCAGCACAAGTGGGGCTTTATGACTGGAGCAGCCATTGTGCTTGCCACTGTGGTTATCATTGCGTTCATTGTTATGGTGATCATGGAATCCAGTACAGACAACAACACGGATACTGAACAGGGGATACACATGCCAGCTGATGTAGATTTGGATAGCCTCAATGTCACCACATTGGGAGGCACCAAGTTGCTGAAGCCAATTCTCAAAAGCATAAAAGACCGTGGGTTCATTCGCTGTTGGGTAAACGGGAATGAAATTGACCAAGGTCATGGACTAAGCTTGGAACTGTGCAGTGCTTTGTCAGCAGCAATCTTCAATGGGGACCCCAACAAGACAAGCTACTCTGTGGTTGCATTTCAGGATTCATGGGCCAACCTTGACAATCTCACGATTGACGTTGTGACAGCACACATCACATTCAATATGAGACGGGATGTATATGAGCAGTACTCTGAAAGGCCAAAATCCTTTTCCGTACCATGGTACTTCACTGGTGTCTTGTTTGCCGGTCAACCTGACATGGTGGATTGTGCTCAAAAAGGAGACACTCTCACAGGTGTCTGCAGAGATTTGGTTGTATGCGTGTATGAAGCCACAACCACCAATGATGTTGTCCAAGCACACCTTGATGGATCTGGTATCCACTTGCTGCACAGCTCTGACAGCCCTGTAACAGCATTTGCAGAGGGGACCTGCAATGTCATTGCTGCAGAGCCCCAGGAGCTTTCAAAATATCCTGTCAGGGATGCTGGATACACTGGTGAATTTGTAAAGGGTCCCAAACTGTTATCCATGGAACCACTGGCCATGGTCACCACAGGTGGTGACCCCCAGTGGACAGATTTTGTCAATTCCGTCCTTCAGGCCTTTTTCACTGCAGAACTAGAAGGCATAACCCAGCAAACAGCCTCTCTCTTCCCCAAGGTTGATTGGTTTGGAGAGGAATATCAAGACATGTACCACCATGCCATAGCCGCTGTAGGGAACTGGGGAGAAATCTTCAACCGAACTTTGGCTCTTACTATTCCAAGGACTGGCCAAAACTTGCTTGTGAGGGGTGTCCAGGAAAAGGCTGGGCTGCTCTACTCCCCTCCACTTTCTGCATTGAGCTTGAACCCAGCACTTCAAACTCAAATCCTTCCACAAGTGGTTCCAAATGGCACCCTGCAGATGATTGGTCAGAGGGGATACCTGAGGTGTGGTGTATTTCCTGACAGGCCTGGATTTGCAGAAGAAGCAAACGCGACTTGGGTTGGCATGGACGTGGACCTCTGCAGATGTTTGGCAGTAGCTATATTTGATGGCAGTGAGTTGGTGGAATTTGTTATGCTGGAGGATCCTACGTCTGGGTACCTGGCACTGGCCAATGACATGGTGGATGTTGTGGCAGGTATGCCATATTCCCTGCAGGCTGATATCCATGAGCCAGTTACAATGAGAGGATACGGCTTCAGTCCTGTTTATTTTTATGGTGAAGAAGGGGAGATGCTGACTCTGGTTACCAATCAGGATGCATCTCAGTGGTCCGACTTTGTCAGGTGGATTATCAATGGCCTCATCTATGCTGAGGAGAGCAGCATTGGAAAAGTAGACGCCTCTCGCATGCCTTCGGTTGATCTATTTGGTCCAACCTACAGTCTAATGTTCAAGTTGATGGTTTTGAAGCTTGGAAATTATGGAGATATCTATGAGGCAAACTTGGCAGGGCTGATCCCAAGGCAAGGGCACAATTTGCTGAACGATGGAAGCACCCCGCTGATAAACCCACTCTCTATTGACCAATTCCACAGCAACTAGTAGGTAGCATTGGTTCTTTAGCGAAAATTCTTACGTTTGTAATCACTTCATCACTTCATGTATTTGTATTTGAATACCATGTTACATATTCCCCTTTAATTAAGCTCTCTAGTTGACATCATTACTAAGCACTTCTTGCAGAGGGAATCCGTGGCATTATTCGAGTCATTCCACCCACCCGACTCTCGAAGAAGACGGCAACCTTTTCGTCTTCACTGCTCATGCTCGGTTGACGTCGTGGTGGCTTCGGGGGAACCAGTTGACTTGAACGGTGGAAGCGTCTTCTTCTTGCCGGACTCGACTCGTCCGTGTTCAGAGAGGTGCTTTCGGGTTCGTCTTCGTCTTCGTCGTCACTGAAGTCAAGGACATTAATGTATTCAAAGACCGAATCCTTGAACACAAACGTAGCTCGTCGTTTGGGCGGAGAAGGCACCCAGCTGGACCTCAGATCTTCAATCTTTTCAATTTCCCGTGGGGGCGCCAAGGGTTCATCAGCCTCGTCGTTGGCTGCAGAGGAGGAGCCCAGAGATAGACCGCTAGCCTGACGTTTAGGGAGTCCTGGAGGAGATCGACTCTTGGACGAATTCTTTTCAGTCTTCACGCTTGGTCTGCGCCGGGGATACCTGGGAAGGCCTAGCAACCCCGTTGGTGTTGTTGAAACAAAAATCTCTTCCCACATTTCCAAATCTTCTTCTGTGAAAGTGACAACAGAGTCCAAGTCGGATTCATCCTCCTGCACAACAACAATGATGTTTGGAACTGTCATGATAAAGATTGCTTTTGTGAGATGGTAGGTTCAATTGTTGGAGGTCTCCAAGATCTTGGAACGAGAATTGTGAGCACTCTTCCGTTCGCTCAAGGTTGCACTCTTCTGTGATGCTTTGAAAGAGGGCACATCCACTTTTAATAAACGATTGATTTTCCAAATCATCGAGTGTCCATGCAGAGTATCAACCTTCCAACATAAGAGGTAACTCTAACTCTGACTTAGATAGCAAGAACAACCATTTTTATCAGGGCCTCCTTCGTCAAGTTTCGTGATAATTGGCGCTGTATCCTTTCGCTAGGTGAATTCTGACTGGATCAAAGCTAGATCTTTCTTAGAAGAAAACAAGCACAGTAAACTGTTGCGGAGCACGGTTGCTACATACATGTACCACAACCACAACATCATCTACAACAAGCTTTTGACTTTTGACAGAACCTCTAGTAAAACTCCGAGGAATGATACTCACCGTCGCTCTCCTGCTACAGTACCGGCACTTAGTACTTGGACACGCAAAGGAAATAACTTCAACACTGCTTGGAAACCATCGCAAGTCCAAAAGAGCATTCAAGCATTCAGCAAACATTCATTAAATCAAAGTGTTGCAGTGTTGCACTTCAACTATTAATTAATTCACTCCCCCGGAACCTCAGTGAAAACACTTAGCGTTCGTTTGGTTCTTCGGGGACTCTAAGAGAAGAAGACCAGAACGATCCGCCTGCATCCTGATATAATATTATATCCTGGCAAATTCTTTGATCTCTTGTAAGTTTGCTTTCTAAGCAGCCTTGTTGTGTTTTCTCCTTTGGCAACCGGACCCACGAACACTTGGCAATCGAAATGGCTCTCCTGCACAGCTCAGATAAGCAGCCATCGGCGCGTCTGGATCAGGCAGCGCATCGCTTTCTGCTTTAAAATGGCAAGCTCCTCGAAGGTTGACGAGAAGGAGTGCCTTGCTCATTCGAAGGGCCCGTTGTGAGGCAACTCAAGTCAAAGTTGAAGATGCCAAGCAGTTTCCTTGCTGTGGCAGGCTCTTATCACCAGATCATCAAAATTTCGTGTACGTAAATTGAGTAGGAAGACCATTTGATCAATGCAACAATGCAACAGCCATGTCCTCCCAGGCAGTTTTCTGGTGACGATGGTATTAGGATTGTGAAGATCACCATTTTCTATCTTCGATTCCACTTCCCTTTCCAACTCGTGCCATTGCGCTTCAAGGACCGGTACCATAAGAAGTTGAAACGTCCTCCCAGCCAAAAGCACGAAGCAATACAGGTCGCCCTGTCAAAAGCACGAGGCAAGCCTGTGCACTTGGACGATCCATTTCATTGCTGTAGCTAGGCACAGAAGCAAAGCACTACGGTAGTCTGAGGTGAGTTCCGTTGCATGGATCGCATCACCTGAACAAGCAAACGTGCGTGCTCACTACGCTGTACAGTATTGCAAAAACAACGAGTAGATGCATGGAAAGTTCCCCACTGGTGATGTGTTGGACACTTCGGTCCATGGTAGTAGACCACGCTGTGCACGCACAGAGAGTAAAATTGGAAGCGACAAAGGGAACATTGAGGGGTCCGACAGCTTACTTCCACTAACTCATTAGCTTCCCCAGTCCTCCTCGCCGACGAGACTAAGCCGCCTTGGTCTTTGCGTCTTTTTCCTCCACACAATCCAGAGGAGTTTGTTTGCCCTCCTGCCCTGCATCTTCTTGCTTCGTTGGCTGAGTGGTGAGGTTTCCCTCAAGCTGAAAGTTGGTTTCGTGTTGCTGGTCCGGCATTACTCTGAGTCCGGCTGGCTGATTTGTCCCGATACTAAACCACCACACCCCATCAGTCCGATTGCCCTCAAGCTGGCTGAGGCTGAGCTGCCTTGGTCTTGGCGTCTTTTCCCTTCCGCCAGACTGGAGCGAGGTCCGTGATTGTTGTGCTTCTTGCTTGGCATGGGATGGCGGCTGGCTGGCTGGTTGGTTGGTTGGTGGAGTTTACCGCCCTGCTGCTAAAAAACCATGTTGTCCGCACCCGTGGCATCCTGATTGCTGCAGGTTTCCTTCGGATGCTCGTCATTGATACTGGCTGCCACATGCATGCATTCTTTGTTCCTTTGGCTGAATCCAAGTCTGTGAGAAGCGTCCAAGCAACCAAAGCCTCTCAACATACACAAGCAAGTCGCTACTGATATCATCCACTCTACCGGTATCAGTGTCAACTGTACTGACTTTGCAGCAGTGAGTGGGTGTTGTAAGCATCTTACTTCCCATGACCGTAGAGGGCTCAGCAGCAGCAGGCAAAACCTAAACTTCTCAACCAAAACAGCACACAGTTATAATAGGATACCAGAATGTATCGGTGGGAGCTGGGTGCTGGGTTTTTCGAGAGCACCTAGATAGCAATGACACTTCTTTGTTAAGGCCAGGGATAAATGTCGGGCAAACCACTAAGGGTAGCGTTAAACAAGAGGAAACGTGGTTACGACGTGGCAGGACGAGACTTAACAAACTGAGTGCCGGTTGAAGGTCCAGCTTGGATCCTTTCCTCATTCGTCTCATCATTCTTTTGCAAAAGCAGATGCACACACAAATTGTATTCTGCAATAGATACCTTTTAGCCAACCAACCAAAAAACCAGTAATAATAAAACAGCCATGGTATTGTTGTGGAAGAATGCATTGTGTGTGACCACTTTGGTGGTAGCATCGAGTGGCGTAGTCCATTCGTTTTCCATTCCAGATGCCGTTTCCCTGGTGAACTCGGGGTCAGAAGGCCTGATGAATATTGTTTCGACGGCCGAATCTCCCATGGAAGCAGTTTCCATGTTGCCGAATTCTGTCAAGGCTGCTGGAGTCGCGGCAGTGGCTCTTCCTGTGGCCCCCAGTGTCCTTCAGGTTGCCAAATCCATTCAACAATTGGGCAAAAACGACAAAAAAGCCAAGGGCAGCGGCAAGAAGCAATCTTACTCGTCGTCGAATATTGTCACGTACCCCGAAGGACAAGCTGCCACGTACGAAATGAACGACAATGTGGTTCCCTTTGAATTTGGAGATGCCGCCTTTGTCCGACCCCTGCTCAAATCCACCCAACTCGAGACACGTCCTCTCCAGGTCGTCTACGATGCCAATCGAGATGGATACGATGCCAAAACGTTTCATTCCAAAGTCGACGGGAAAGGTGCGGCCGTGGTACTCGCCAAAGTGGCGGGACAATGGTGCGGTGGCTACAACCCACGTGGATGGGCGTCACTGGGACAAGCCCGATCCAGTGTGGCGGCATTTTTGTTTTACAAACAACCATTGAAGGGATGGCAAAAATGTCGGGTCAGTCGGACGGGTAGTATGGCGTGTGGAAATGATCTCTATGATTCCGGAATTTTCTTTGGAGCCGACTCGTTCATTATTCCTCTGCGCCAACCCAACCCACGACAAGTCACCAGTCGATTGGGACAGTACTTTGAACCATGTCCCGATGGAAAATTGACCATTCTGCCAAGACCCAGTTTGGAATATGAATTGCAAGAATTGAAGATTTTGACCGGTGTCTATGCACCGGATGAGATTATTCCCAACTCGGGAGGTGTTTTGGAGCTTGGCTATTATTAAAAACAGAAAGTAAAGAATAACGTCAATCCACAGATAGAGTACGATATGAAGAAGCCTTCCTTCGCCAAACCTAGGTCACACAAGAAGGAGATGTACAGCATGCTACTCCTCGGTCCAAAAGCCCTGCATGTAGATCTACACAATTTAGCAATCATCTAAAACAGCTTTCACTGCAGGCAGACTTCGAACGATCCTGTGGTCCCACCGGTAGTTGCAATCATCTACTGCTAAAGGGACTGCAGTGTTTCTGGGGCCAGGGTTGTGGAAACTGCAGTGGTTGGGCCTGAGGGACTTTCAGTGCTACCAGTAGAGCCAACAAATGAAGGGCGCTGGGGCTGGCTGTTGTGGGCATTCCACTGCTGGGGCTAACGATTGTAGCGAGTGCTGTGCTAGGCATAGCTATAGCTAGTTGTGGCATTCCCAGTGCTGGGGCAAGCCATTGTGGGATGTCCAGTGCCTGGGGATAGGACCTGCAGCCAGTTAGTGGCTTTGTTTCGGGTATTGCCGCTGTCTCATTATGACAGAGATTGGATCTTTGGCTTGCGAGGACCGACATGCGGTCAGTCTTGCAGCTTTTTGCAGGCAACCAAACGCGGACATATGATTGCGAAAGACTTGTGCAGCGTGCAGCGGCACAGTGCCGCAGTGGCCCTGTACGGTCACGAAACGTAACAGTGCTCTAGGTAGCTATCAAGAGAGTGAGTTTAGACAATGGTGGTGCCCTGCCACACGTACCGCATGAACCACCATTGAGGAATCCCCAGTGCCGGGACGTTATAGGCTTCAAACGATCCTGTGGTCGTAGTGCAGTCATCAACTGCTGAAGAGACTGCCGGGTGCCGGGGCAAACCAATGCTGTACAGATTGCAGTGTCGGGGCAAGCTGACGAGGGCACTCCAAGTGCTGAAGCTGTAGTGCAACTTGAGTCGCCTACCTATTCCAGTGATGGGCAAACCTTTGCTTGTACCGGTACGTAGGAACCTAAGAGACAATTAGAAACGGGAGAGCGGGGTTCCTTCAGAGAGCTGCACTGTACTTCTTCTGTTGCAAGCAAACGCAGAGTGGTATCAACACTTGACTATTTGGGTGGATCGAATTCGATCTCCAAGGGGAACGTCCTTTGGTTGGATTACCGCAAGAAAAAGGAAGAGCCACCGAACAAGGAACCAGCGAAAAGAGGTTGATCACCGAAGAACCGATCTCGACTTGAGTTGATGCGACCTTGAGTACGACCCGACCTTCCTCAGACATGGACACAAGTCTTGGGCCCGACCAGCCCAAGAATACCTCTGGAACCAGCTTCGGCAAGTCAAGAAAGCGAGAAGAAGTGTGAGGCTTAAGCTATCTAAGAGTGAATAATATGAGCTCGACGCCACAACCAGCCAGATCCAAAGGTCGCGGGCGGAGAGAAGGAACCAGCCAAACCGACCAACCAACAGTGTCACCACATCGTGTGCAAAGTACCAACGGCAGACGGAACCAGATGACCGACCGACAGGGACAAGGCCAAGGGTCAGCGGAGCACACGGCAAACCAACCACCAATCAAGGGACCGATCCAAACCGGCACGGGGATCAGATACAAGGGTCACGGAGCACAAGAACGCAGCCTACCGACCAATCAAGGAACCGAGCAATCTAACCGACCGACCGACCGACCAACCGACCCACCAACCAACAGGAACCACCAATAGATGACAAGGATAATCATTTCCTACTTGGAAAACTCGGATCAAATCCTTGCACCAGGAAGCCCCAACAGGAACCACCAATGTGAGTCAACCACCACCTGTGCGTTTGTTGTTGAGGCTGGATGAGGAGCCGACCGTTGGCTTTCACGAGGACGAACCAACCCACAGAGGAACCACCATTGTCAACATGGAGCAGTCGGAATCCGGTCGAGCTCGAGAGTTTTCGTGAGGCTTCGAAGTGTACTCTAAGTCGTTTGGTAGTTCCGTTAAGTCCAGGGGGGGTGCACAAGAACGTTGGTAGGTTGGTAGAGTCCTGTTAAGTCTTTTGGATATTCCGTTAAGTCCAGGGCTGGGAGTTTGCTGATTTTCGGGAAAACCAACGGACTCGAGAGCAATAATGTCCGAATGAGCATGCATGTCTTGGAGAGGAAGGAGGAGACAGGAGACAGACGTTGACTGCGAGGCTAGGACCACCAAAGAAAGCAAGGAGTTGCTGTTGCCTAATAATGAAAAAGCAGAATGGAACAAGAAAGAGGTTAGACTTGAGCTGATACGGTAGCAAAGCAAAGCAAGACAGCATGCATGCATGACACTTTGGTTCAGCGAAGTGGGGAACAACAGTCTTCTAAGAGTGTCTGCCACCCCCCACTTCCAACGACGTTTATGTTGGCTCTCTCGAGCAAAGAACTACTAATGTCATGCATGCATGCCGTTCGCTAGCGGACCGTACCTGTTTGTTGCCTTCACGAGGACGAACCACCCCAACAAAGGACTGGAAGAGGAACGGCCACGGCGCCATTGTCAACATTGAGCAGACGTCCTACGTTGGGAACTAAAGGGGATGAGGCGGCAACGGTCGATGACCGTGAAAGTAGCAATGGCACAAAAAGACAGGAACAAGTGGACTTACCTTGCACGAGAACGAACCAACCCACAAAGGAACCACCGCAAGATGACTCTGGATCCGTTCAACCACACAGCGGTCCGCGCGAGGGTCCACCCGTAGATGCACATCTCGAAGCACGTGAACGTGGGACTCTCAATACCATCATTGTCATCGTCATGCATGTCTTTGAAAAAGACAGAAGAAAGTGAGTTGTGTTTTTGTTGAGAGAGAAAAAGAGCTTTGCTTGAGGCAACGAACGTCGTTTCATGCAAATCGTTTCATGCATTCACTTTGGCAAGACCAACATCAAAATCGAAAGAGGTGTCAACATCAAAAATCAAAAACGGTGTCCACATCAAAAAGATCAAAAAATCAAAATGGAGTTTGTCATTTGATGATTGCCGTTTCATTTTTTCCTTCCAAAACTGAAACGACCGTCGGCAAAGGTACGAGATGGTTGATTGTCGGCGGCTGCTTCCAAGCTACTAGTAGCAAGAAAACGTGGCTGACTTGTTGTCATGTTGGGGTTGTGTCCCAACGTGGAAGGTGGATGTGCGTCGAACGTAAGAAGAAGCTCGCGACCACTGTTGCATTGCTTGCCAGCCCACGATACCGCCTGGATCGATCGAAAACAAGAGGAGCCTGTCATGGTGGAGTAGTACCTACTGTACATCGTACCGGTAGAGCCGCTACGCTGTCAAGAACAAAGAGGAGGTAGTCTACTGTAACATCATCTTGATACGAACTGTAGAGTCAAGGTATCCATCCATTGAAATGAGAAAATTATTGAGACCATCGCGCGGTGACTTGAAGCTTGAAGTTGAAACGTCAGTTGGCCTCTTTTAGCTAGAATTTTTACAGGTGGTGTCCTCTAAGTCTTTTCACTTCTGCAAATTTTGCTTTCAATAGATTGAAGATTCTCACGTCAATCCGGTTTATCCCATTCATGCTGCCTTACAGAAGATTCGAATTCCAACAACCAAGCAAAGCAAAGGATACGAGGCACAGTTTTGCTCCGAGGATTGGATCTTCCAAGCCAACTGTCTTTGTCGGACCCATAGCTAGTCTCGCTCTATCAGAAGTAAGTAGTCTAATAGGCAAGATGACGAGCGAACCAGTGAAAGATGAGACTGAAAATGTGGAAAAGCAAGAAGTGAAAGAAGATGAAATCCCAAAGGAGCAGGCTGAAGAAGTAGAAGTAGAAGCCAAGGGTGAAGAAGTAGAAGTAGAAACCAAGGCTGACGAGGAAGACAAAGAGGAAAACAAAGAGCAAGACAAAGAGGAAGAGAAAGCTGATGACGACGACAACAACAAGGCTAAGGAAGACGAAGTAAAGGCGCATGCACTAGAAAAGATGCAACTGTCATTTACAAAAGCCACAGCCGAAGAATTCGTGACTCGCACATACAAGTTGGTCTCGTTACGAAGTTGGTTGGACAATGATAAGAGCGATTCTCCTGCGAGTTCTTCTCTCGTGATTCAAACTCTGATCAATAGCAACTTGCTGACGGCCGATACAGCCAATCGCTATTTGGAAAAGAAATCGTCTCGTTTGACGCAACTCAAGACAACTCTACCAGAAGATCTCTTTGGTTTTGTCAATGGAAACCTAAAACCTCAAATCCACAAACTACAAGACAAAGACAATGCCGACTTTTTACTCCAGATTGTCGCCGTCTATTTCAAAGTACTGACAGATGCTCAAAAATCGTATCGCGAAGAACTCTTGAAAGATCGCAAACAGTGTTGTGCTGGATCCAACGATTTTGATCAAATGGCACAAAAAGTCAAGGAATTGCAGACACTAGTCACTACAGAATGTCAATTGACTCTTGCCGCACAAGACAAACTCCACCAAGGCGCACAAGCGTTGATTGCCCTCTACACGGCCGATGCTGATTATGCCGCACAAAAAGTATGCTACTACATTTTTCACGAACTCATGGAACAAGAACAAGAACAACAACCACAACAACAAGACACCATTATTACTCCACTCTTTACCGACCAATGGTTAAAACCTACCAACGCTACCAATACCAGTAGTGTCCCACAAATCACGGCATGTCTCGAAGAACAAACGTCTCATCTCCAAGAAGATTTGGATCCAACCATGTTCCCCAAAGCATTGCAGGCACTCGTCACACGGTTTGTCCATTATTACCTCGAACGCTTACTACAGACATGCACAGCGCACAAATCACTCGAAGAACCCTATTGGCCAGATACTGCAGCCGCCCTCCAACAAATCCAAACCGATATTAGCAGTGCTCAAACCTTTTTTGAATCGCTGGCACAAGATCGACACAAACCATTGATTCATGCCGAATTGGATTTGCTCACTACAATTCACCACATTCTGTCCATTGCTGCTGCCTCCTCCTCTGCTACACCTACTGACGAATCCAACACTAGTTCCACGAATGATTTGAAGGACAGTATTCTGGCACTCCAAGCCCGGATTGAAAAATATGATACCACCTATTATGTCATGGGCGATCTATACCATCTCGTTGCACCCACACAAGAACGATATGCCTATGAAACCACCAAATCGTTGGCGAGACAATTGCGCGCGTATAATCGTCGCGATGATCCCGAAATCGTGCCCGGATTATCCCTACGAGTCATGTTGCAACATCATTTGGTGGCAAGTCGCGGTCAACGCACTCGATTGGGGGCGGGTGTATTCAACAATTTGTTGGGACGCATCGGTGGCGCCATTACTTCCTCGACAACTGGCAATATTAACAGGACGGCGAGTAGTGCCTCGCATATGACACCACCCCAAGACAAATTGACCTATGAAGAATTGGAAAAGGAATTGTTTGATGTCAAACAGGAATTGGAAGAAGCCACCGAACGGGCACAACAAGCCGAAGATCAAGTTGATACGTTGCGACGCGAATTGCAACACACCAAGGATCAATTGGCCGAAGTCAATCTGGAAGCACTCCAGAGAACGGCCAATGGAGGCAACAGTCGGAGTAAGTCACCGCCTCCGAAACGGAATGGCAGTAACAGTAGCAGCAGGAGCAAATCACCACCCCCGAAACGGCCGTCCAATGAAGTGGATGTGTAAGACGTTAGCACTGTGAGCGAGCGCTCGAGAGTGACAGTGATGATCGAGCTCCGTAATGGCAGGTATACACGTCTTGCTACCATAATTATAGAAAAAGTATCTCATTGGTGGTGCTGCGAGTTTTCAGCAACGAAGAGTGTCACTCGTATCTTCATAAAAGCGCTCATTTACACGCAAAAGTTCTGCGGCTTCCAACAAATCCACACCACTCCGTAGGATGGCTGTCTTATATCCACCAAGTCACTCATTATGTTCGTACGATACTACACGATTTATGTCTTTTACGTGTACGGTACGGTACCGGGTCGGGTGGCTGGCTAAGAACGGTAGCCCGCCGCCTCCAATTTAGCAAAACCATGGTCGCTGATGTAGCACACCGTACCGTACCGTACTACACAAGCTAGTGCCCCGCGAACATGATACTCAATAGTTGGCTTCCGGCACGTAAGTCCAAACGGGGAGCACAAATATAGATAGATATCCAGACAGGGTGGCAAGACAGACCAACATGCCATGCCCACAAATAAAACCTTCCCCAAATAAATAATGCATCCGGCACGAGGCTCATGCCATTGCAGTATTATTGTTGTTGTTGTTGTTGTTGTTGAGTTCGACGCGACTAAATCCACTTTGATGTTGTCCTCGTTGAAAGACAGCACAGGGTTGATTGCCTTTGCAGAGTGTTTTGCCCAACAAGGTCATTAAATCCTGTTGGACTTGAGGGCGGGTAATGGTGGCTTTTGTGGGTCGAAAAAAGCTCATGTAGCGTTCGGCCGCCAACGCGGGGGATTGAGTTGTGGATGTCAGTGTCAGTAATTGTTGCACACACGACAATTGTACGAGCGAAACGGGAATATTGTCGGGATTGCTTTTGGATGTCGTTGGAATGTGATGACAGAGTGTTTCGGCATCCCATTTGGTACTGTTGTGGTTGTAGAGGTGGACAAAATGGGATGCAATGTGTTGTGTGGGCAAATGAATGACTTGTTTGCGACATAGTTTTTGGACCGCTTCTGGAACGGCACTGCACAGAGCTTTGGCTTCTTCCGGGGGTACTGCTGCTGTGGTTGTGGCTTTTTGTTTTTGTTTTGAGTTGTTGTCGTTGTCGACTAATTCAGTATCCAAATACAAGTGAATATAGTGTTTGGCCGTTTCTTCATCATCGAGTTGAATGAAATGTTTTTCACAAAAGATTTGATCGACGGGACTGGTCAATCCACTGCACGCGCGTGTAGCATCGTCTTCGGTGAAATCGTGCAGGACATCTTCTTCGTCGATAATGACAGTCCCCAGTTGATTGCGAAAGGGAAGTGGCTTTTTGGGAACTGGTATGGTTTGGGTAGCATTATTATTAGCATTGGATTGTAATTGTAAGGCAGCATGGACACACGTCGGAATATCGACGGCCAATGCACATTCAATGGCGGCTTGATGGAATCGTAATTGAGGTTCGACGGCTCGTAGTAAGGGCGCCCATGCCTCTTGTTCGGTTCCTTGCGCTTGACAAAACACTTGCAGAGAAGACAACTGCAACTGATGGCACACTGAAGGAGGACGCGTCTTCTCCTCCTTAACCTTATCTTCAGCTTTCTTCTTCTTGGTACTATCTTTAGTATTTTCGGCAGTGGATTGTGATTGTAGAGCTTGTGAATGCTGCTGTGATTGTGATTGTGATTGCAGTAGTAAACCCCGATGTCCCACGTGGGAAAAGCAGTAATACGTGGTAAAGACAATACCCAACCAGGCTACCACCGTTACAACCACCCAGCGACGCACTCCACCATTCCGACGATGGCCAAGACCGTTCCCAATGCCTTTGCTATTCGTATAAGCTGATTTGTAGCTCAGTTGCATACCACTGTGCATCTTGTTGTTGTTGTTGTTGTTGTTGTTGTTGGACGATCTCATCATGGCTGGGCTGGTTGATAGAGATAGTTCTGTGGGAATGCATGGGATGAAGATTCGATTCGCGTGGGAAACTGCGTCCAACCCGGGATTTTGCGAAGGGTGACATCAGTGACCATTTTTGAGTCATTTTTGGGACTCCAGTGACTCGCAAAATTTATTTGGTGCTCTAACCCTAGTGCCCTATAGAACGGCCAAGCTGTTAGATACCGGTACAGCCCTTACCGGTACCGCTAAGACAAACACGCAATATGGTTCAAGGGGATCCAGCTAGCTAGCAGCCAGTAGACTAATTGGAGGCTACTCGCAGCTAATACATGTAGCTACGTTGGTTGATGGGATCAGGCGTGACAACACTGGGAACTGCCTTGGTCACTGATCCTCAGCAGCCAGGGAGAGAAGGTTACGGTCCTACTCATTCAAGTTGCGGGTAGACTACTATCCAAGAGCAGCAAGGTATTTGGAGGCAGATCGGGTTCCCAAGCAAAAGGCTGCCCACACCAAAATGTATTGGGTTGTCCCCAGCCAAGGTATTGGGTTATCCTTACTACCGAATCAGAGCCATGGCCCCTTGTGGGTCGACTGGGCCACTGACTCTTGGGGCTGTTGGGGCTGTTCGTTGCCGCCTCAATCATATCATCTCATATCCAGTGGACGAAAGTCTTTTTCCAACCAGCTACCGTCCAAGACACTAGCTAGCTAGAGCACGACTACTAGCTAGTACTCGCTCCACTACAGGCACACTGGCACCACACACCTCCAAAAGCTACATGTAACCGGAAGCAGGCTTTTCCCACTGAAAGCTGCGGAAATAACCTGGCATGCCTAGCAAGCGTGTTACAACGAAGTCTGTGTGCTCTTGTCTCTTGTCCTCTCCTTTTCTAGACTAAAACCAGAAAAGAAAGACCACTATTGAAAGGGTATCTGTGCAGGAACCCAGCAAGCTAGTAGCCAGAAACATTGTTTTACATGACACATACATGAGCAGAAACGGGGTCAAGAAATCGGCCGAGTGATCAGAGGCGAAAAAGACGACACTGCTCGAGTTTCGTTTGGCTCAGGTACCCGCATGTACAAGTATCTAGCTAGCTAGAGTCCATTGGACAGTTCATTAAAATTTATAACTAACTGAGCTAGCTAGCTAGTAACTGATAGTTTCCATCTACTGTGAAGGTATCTTGCTGCGCTCACCTTCGGTTGCCACACAACACAAGAGCACACGAGCTCAACAACGTTACAGCAGGAGAACAGCATGGTTGTCACCCCAAGCAGGCATTTCGGGAAGACAACCTCAATAGCTGAGATAGCTAAAAGGTAAAATGCAAAATGGTTACCGCACCTACCTGAATAGCATATGATACCTGTCTTCCAGTCCACAGCTGATGTCGCGAAAGCGCTCTACAGTCAGTTGGATGTTGTCCTGGACAGTGCAGGTGCAGTGCACATCATCATCACTTATCAGTCCCCAAATGCACCCTTTGCGGGGGGGTGGCTCAAACCGACTGTTACTGTCTTATCTTGCCTTTTCCCGCATTGATCGCCGAAAAAGAAGGTTGTAGAGGGCAGTAGAGGGCGATCGAAAGTGGCAAACAAAGCAAAAAAGGTAAATAATGGCTAAACAGACAAAACAGGCGGTAAATCAGGCGGTAAAATAGGCGTTTGCCACTGATTGCAGGCGGTTGTAGGCGGTCAGAAAAGGTAAACAGCGGTTGAAGATGGTAAAATACGCCACAAAGTTGGTCCAATGCGATGCAGGAAATAGTAGGTTGATTTGTGCCACCCCCCGGAAAATTGGTGGAGACAACAAAGCAAAAAAAAGGAAAAAAAGGACCTGGTTTATCCTTCAACTCACTGACATTATTGAGGTCTCTTTTGCTTTGCCCTTTCGAGTATCCTGGCGATGTGGTTTCTGCCACGTATTTCGCATTGATCGTCTCACGACATTCCACGAGCTCTCCAGTCTCAAGGAAGAATTGCTGGAAGAATTAACTGTCCTGAGTATCATCTATCTCTTGCTCTAGCTGGTCTTTGGTCTTTGAGCAGTTCTTTCGAATCGCGCAAGTCAATGTTCTAGCATGCCAGTGACTGTAGCCAAGAACATAAGTAATGACTACGAATGGTAGATAGTGGACAACTTCATAATGTGGTATAAAGAACATGGTGGCCTCCTTCTCCGGATTAGATTCTTAAGAATTGGAATGATGAATTTCCTTGCAGAGGGAGATACAGTACTCTTTTCATCTACAGTAAAGTTCATTGTGATAATAGCTGTTTCCTTGAACCATGTTATTGGTCCAAGCAGTCTTGCTGAAACTTGATAAAAAATGCAATAATACATACGCTACATGTAAAGCAAAGCTGGCTACTACTCATAAGACACTGATTTCTACCATTATTTCTGGCATCTCTGCAACATTATTACCGGTAAGACTTGCTCGGTATCACAGGTCATTCCTGCTAGCTAGCTTTCGTTGTTGGTTTGTGGTGGTTGCCAGGATACTAGACTACTAGCTAGTAAGTAGTCTGGCTAGGTTCGCAGTACGCAGTCCTCCGAGTTCCAGAGGATCTCCGCGAGACAACGAGGTGAAGCGAAGCGGACAATGGATCAAAGCAACAGTTGGTGAGGTGTCCATTCACTCAGAGGGCCCCTGCATCGCTCCCAGCAAGTCTTAATAGGCACATCACAGTTCAGGCTACTAGTACCCAAAACCCCTTAGCTGCTACCCTTCAGCTTGATCTTGAAAGAAGACAACAATAATGGACTCTCCCAAGAACCAAAAGAAGAGTGACGATGATGAAACCAAGCGGTCAGCTGACGCCGTGAATGAGAGCGTTGATAATGGCAAGCAAGGGGAGATGGAAGAATATGAGGACGAAAATGCCATCTTGGATGCCATAGAAAAGCACTATGCTACCCATGGACGACCTGTCCAGGCTTCAGCGTCGTCTCACGAGAGAAAGCCTGGCTATGATGCTCAGCATGCAAAACCCAGCCAAGATACCCCTGGAGGTACATGTAGTGCTTCTACTGATCCTAATAAGGATGCCAAGGCCAGGGCTCAGCCGAATGCCAATGATAATGCGTTGCGGGCGCAGGCAGCAGCGGTAGCGGTGGCCAATGGGGTGGATGACAGCGAGGTAGCCATGGTACCTCGTGATACCCCAATAATGGACGGTCCCTACATGTACAAGCCAGACAATGGTGCTCAGGAGGGGTTTGCTCCGGTACCGGTACCACTTCGTACTGGTACGCCCAGTTCCGTACTCCGACCGAGGACAACCTCCCTGACAGCAAAAGAGAGACTGAGTATCACGATGGAACCTGTTCACCTTGACGCCACCATTAGTGTGGGGACGGCAGCAGATGCCTCCATCCCCGGCGCTTATGCCATGGCTCCTTCCATGGAACTGGGAACTTCAGATGATGACATTTCCGTGGCAGACATTCTGAATGAATTGCAAAGTACTAACGCAACAGCTTCAGGGGGTCTTGCGGGTCCTGAGGAGGCTACAAACGCCACTGCGGACGGCAACGAAGGCCCCACTCCGCCAGATGCACCCACGACCATTGCGGAGCCACCTTCGATTCACACTCGTACCGGGTCCACAGGCCGCTTGTCCAGTACCTCCTCGACGGCGGATTCGATTGACGAGGACGATGTGGTGGCAATCATGGTGGAAGAAGGCACCCAACCAAACCTACAGCAGGCACAACCGGTCTCCCGCAAGCAAGCAAAGGCTCGGACACAAAGCACTCGCAAGTTTTCACGGGCCGTGACAAGCTTGGTGTTGGTTGCCTTGGTGATTGCCATTGGCGTCATTCTGTTGGCAGCCCTATTGTCCAATCGAGACGATGGCAGTACCAATCAGGGCAGCAGCAACGTCACCATGGCTACTGAAGAGGGCGAGCCCCACGACGTTCCCTTCGACAGCAGAAACCCCTCCTCCATGACTCCCTCCTCCGCTCCATCTTCTTTCTTAGAGAGTCATGTCCTGGACGCATTGCTGGAAGATGCTCCCTCTCTGGATCAGAACCAGCAAGAAGCCTCATCATCCCAACTACTACTACTGACCAACCTGAAAAACTCCTCTTCACCTCAAGCTATGGCATTTGATTGGACCTTGCAAGATCCCAGCGCCATCGAATACCCATCATGGCGGACGAGACAACGGTTTGCTCTGGCATCACTCTACTTTGCGACCAACGGACACAGCTGGAAGTTCAACACCGACTGGCTCTCCTACGACCTACACGAATGCGATTGGTGGTCAGAACCAGACTTTGCGTTTTCCGTGCCCAATTTTCCCGCTCTTACGTACAGCAGTGGCAGTCCTTGTGATGACGACGACGACGACCGTGTCTACAAGCACATTTGGCTTTGGGATAACAACCTCCAAGGGACACTGCCCGAACAAGTCTACTGGTTGAGCGATTTGCGCAGCATCAGTGTCTTTCGAAATCCACTGCTCACGGGCACACTGTCCACGTCCATTGGCACTCTGAGGCAGTTGGAGGGAATCACAGCTGCGGCAGCCGGTTTCACGGGGACACTGCCAACCGAGATTGGTCTGTTGAGTGACAAGCTCACTTACTTTTCCGTCTTTGGCAATGACATGAACGGCCCTGTTCCGTCAGAACTCGGGCAACTGAGTGAATTGGAAATCATCATTCTCGACCAGAACCGCTTCACGGGAACACTTCCGTCAGTGAGCAATTGGGACAAGATGACACTGTTGTATGCCCAAAACAACTTCCTGAGTGGAAGTTTACCCACCGAGATTGGGATGATGCAATCGTTACAGCGAGTTCACTTGAAACAGAACCAGTTGTCTGGCACGGTAAGTCACTCACAACCATGATGAAAATTGTCCACCCTTCCATGATCAGGTCATGCCTCTGGCTCACACATACAAACCTGCATTCCGTCTATTTTACAGATCCCATCCGAGATTGGACAATTGGAATCTCTGCTGGACCTTGCCATGAATTCGAATGCCCTGACCGGAACGCTGTCGAGCCACCCGTGGCCCAGGAGTTTGCAAGTGTTGGAGTTGGCTGGAAATATGATATCTGGCGAGATCCCGTCCGAGATTGGTGCCATTGTGAACCTGACACATCTTTTGCTGCAAGACAACCTCCTGACAGGTATCCCTAACGAGATCTTGGACTTGGTCGATGCAGCAGCACAAGAAGAAAGTCCAGCGAATGTTTCCTACTTCAAAGCATTCAATGTCACGGGCAATCCTGCTCTGGAAGGGGGGGATGGCAACGATGCCACCTCCTCCTCCGTTTGCTGGACTCGTTCTAGCTTTTTCGAGTCACCGGATTGTCGGAAACAGCATCCGCCAGCATCCTGTCGTTGTGATTGTTCCTGCTAGCTAATCTAGCCTGGTCCGGAGTTGGAAATCTAACAACGTCCAAAGAAAGCAACGCAAGGCAAAGCAGACTGTACATTTGCAACCACTTATCGTAGTGATACGTTAGGATAAATTGATATATAGAATGGATTTTTCATGTACATATATCTGAACAAGAATGTGCATAGAGGAGTGGAGTGGAGGTGATTCTCTACATGTTTCGGTTCCCCAAAGCTTCGGCTGCGCCACAGCCATGATCCGTCCACTGGGGCCATATCCGTTATAGATTTTGTTGTAGTTGAGCATTGTGATGGTTCCCGGCAGCCCTTCCCAAACAAAACGATCCATCACCTCGGTATACCATAATCTAAGAACAACTTGCTTCCATCAACCCTTAACCACGGAAGCCTTGTGTCGTAACAGACCCAGGAAATTTCCTTGTCTACAATTTTTTTTGCGATCAGTTCCTTGGCTACAATGGCTGTTGTGATCAGGTAAGAGACAATTGTTGAAAGGCAAACCTCCACGATTGTCGCAAGGTTTTGTTCTTTGTTCTTTTTTCTGGTTATTGTCAAATTATATAGATTCTACATTCAGAAGCTTTGACCGTGTCTCTTTTGGTTTCAGTTCCTCTTGTTCCTTGTTGGTCTGGAGGGGTACATGGATGGATTGAAGATAAAATTGTTTCTTTGTCTGCTTTGACCTTCTTGAGTCTCTCTCTCTTTGGGTTTGTCTTGTTTTTAATTAAACAATATCTGGCACTCGCTTGCCTCCTACCGATGGTTCCAACGCCAATCCTGCCGTGGCTCGTTCGGCCTCTCGTTCCAATTCTTGTTTTTTGGCGGATCGCTTGAGGGCACATCCCCGGCACAACCAGAGCAATCCGATAATGATGAATATGATTCCATAGACAGGTCCGGGACTGTACTTGTGCACCCCACAGAAAAATTCTCCGCATTCGATGGGACATTGTGGCAGGAGGACACTCGCCAAGAGCGAACCAATGATCAGTTTGATCAATCCGGAAAAGAAAAAGATACGGGCCAAACATCGTGGATGATTCTTGCAGCAAAAGCAAATAAACGGTAACACAAACGTGGCGAGGAAGAGCACCAACATGGAACCCACCAACGTCCAGTACACTTCCACCGGTTGCGTCATCTTCTCGTCGCAGGTCGCGGGAGGCAACGTCTCCACGGGGTACATGGTGCCATTCACAACCGCATCGGTAGAGTTGCCCCAGATATAACCTTCCACTGTGTCCAACAGATTCGACATCTTGATAATAATAAAGTAATAGAGTAGATTGAGTAATTGACCTTGAGTAGATCTAATTTATTTGCAGATAAACCGGAATAGAATAGAGGTAGCAGGTATCCAAGCAGAAAAATGAATGAGAAAGCGAAACCGAAAAATGAGGATAGAGGTTTTAAGGTTCCGCGCATTGGAAATCGTCAGAAATGTTTCAATCAACTGGGGTGTCGCAGGAAACGCTCGGAAGCATTTTAACTGGGACCGAAGATATTTAACAAACAATCCGAAGCATCTGTCATTTGCGAGCATGCCATTCACGGATAAAACCGGTGCACAAAGCCTCAACGCTAATGCATTTGGGATGTTTTGTGCTGGACTTTACGGTACTACTTAGTAGTACCCTGAAATATCTACAAGACGATGGCCCAATTTTCTAGTAGACCCATCTTATCAATTGGTAACCTCACCATCGACTGACCTCCCAAATTTGTAACCGACCTCACTGTTTTCGGGCTACCCCATTATGCGCTTCTTAGATGTTGCGTGGGACAGATGATTCGATCAGTGCTCAAGACGACAGTGATGAGGGAGCCAAGAAACCCGCTGCCAAAAAGCGCAAAACCAAGACTGCCGCCGGCGGAAAGAAGAAGAAGAAGGCCAAGACAGCGGCGACGGAGATTCCAGAAGTAGTATCAGGCAAGTTTCGATAGTAAACAGATGATGGCGGTCCCACAGATGCAACCACAGATGGCGATGGCGGTCCAACAACAGATGCCGATGATGCAACCACAACAGATGCCGATGATGCCAACCACAGATGCCCATCATGATGCAATATCCCTTGATGGGATTCAATCCGCCCATGGTTGGAATGGGATTTACTCAGACATTTCTGCAGCAACAATATGCGAATCAAGTCGGCCCACAGCAGATCATTGTCCCACAGATGCAACAACAAGCAATGATGCCACAACAGCAACAATTCGCACAGGGACAGCAGCAGCAACCACAGCAGGTGATTTGTATTCGGGATGCAAATGGGAATTTAGTTCCGGCAGGCAATCAAAACGGAGCCACTCAAGGCTGAACGGCCCGATCGTCATGGTGGATGATTGCCGGTTCGTCAATGTCCTTTTTGGGGCAATAATGGCTGGAGCTTTCGCTTTTGGAGTTTCAACGACTTTTGCTATGTAAACGCGACTAACTATCGCCAACCGGTTGCCTTTTTGAGAGTACATGTACGTGACTGTACGGTACCCGCTTTTGCATACTAGCTAGTAGTAGTAGAGCTGCTAGTAGAGTGGAAGTTAGGCAATCGGCGGCAAAAGCAAATCTATCTTGTAGGTATGCGGGGCGAGCTGCTAGCTGGGCACACCTACTAGTTACGATTGCCTCAATGTGGCTTTCGTGGGAAAGCCTCCCTTCATCTTCCTGATCATAGTAAAGGTCTCATGGACTCCATCGTGTCCTTGGATATCTTCGAATTCAAATCTTTGAATCAGATAGGCCAGTGTCAACTTCAAGGTGTTCAAGGCCATGGGTTTCCCAAGACACAACCTCTTTCCTGCATTAAAGGTTATGTATTTGAATGCAGTTGGTTCCTTCTGGTTCAAGAACCGGGTAGGTTTGAACTCGCTAGCATCACTGCCCCAAACCTGATGGCTCCTTCCGACAGCTCGTGGTGACAGTGGCACCATGGCTCCCTTTGGAATAAAGGTACCATCAGGTAGGACATCATCATTGACAGCATACTTCACTGTCACAGGAACAGAGGGATACAATCGAAGGACCTCCATGACAACAGCATCAATGTATTTCAATTTTCCAATGTTGTCGTATGAGTAATCTCCAGCATTGCCATCATCTACTCTGCCACAGACTTCATTTGCTTCTTCTAGCATCTTCTCCACTACTTCAGGGTGCTTGCAGAGCTCAAAGAGTGACCAGGATAGAGCAACAGCTGTAGTATCTCGACCAGCAGCCATGAAATTCATAATGACATCCCTCAGCTCCTCATCTGAAATCGGGTCATTGTTTTTGTCGGCATAATCAATGAATCGACTAAGAAGATCAGGACCAAGCTTCCCATCCTTGGCTGTGCGCCTCCGTCCCTGGATGATTTCCTTTGCATTATCATCAAGGATGACCTTGAGCTCACGAATTCTCCTTTCTCGTTGGCCAATATTGAAGACTCGCTTCAATTCAAAAAAAAGATCTGGCACTCTCTGAACCAAGAGTAGCTGCATTTCATCAAAGGCTTGGGCAAACGCATGTTGTGTTTCGTTCTTCAAGCTTCCATATTCTGTTCCGAATGCCACAACCGATGTGACATCAAAGGTCATTCGAAAGAATAGATCTTGAACATCCACTTCCTTTCCAGTGGTCTGCGTATCCTTAAGAATTGTAGAAAGCTCTTGCACATTTGTCAAAGTGACCTTGGCAGCCTCACGTAGTAGGTTGGTAGAGAACATGTGGGAGGCAATCTTTCTATGGCGATACCAAGTTGCTCCGTCAACCCCAAAGATTCCGTTTCCCAAAAGTTCTCGAAATAGATTGTGAAAGCGATCACTTTTTTCATAGTTGTCAAAATTGCCACTAAGAATATGTTGAATGTTCTTTGCTTCAACGGTGCAAAAGTAGGAGCCGCCCATGGCACCAATACGGGGCAATGGACCACCCCATGTGCACTGGTACTTTTCACTCAATTCGTGCAGTGCTTCCGGCATTCTTCCTCTGTTTCGATAGAAGAGCGTCACTAGAATGCCAAGGAAGGGGTGCCTTTCTGGACCTGGTAAGGATTTGTCCACAGCATAGGGCTTGAAACGGTTGTAGATGCGAAGCAGTGCGTGAACGAAGACAGCAGCAATGGTGGTAGCGGTCAGGAGACTTGCCGTCGAATACTCATTAGTTCCCATTTGGGATGTGAGGAAACTCAAAAACATTTGAGAAGTTCCGGTACTGGTATTGGTCATGCTTCGATGGCACAAATATTGCGAAACGAGAAAGTGTTGTTGTTGGGGCGTTGTGGCGTCGAGGAGAGATCTGAATTGTGAGGTTGTCCTCATCCAAGGAAGGATCTTTGCTCCAACTTGCTATCGGTAGCAATGCTGGATAAATTTACATTGACACCGGATAGGATCGTCTCTACATGCTCTGTAGAAACCTTGTTTGTTGCTTTTGGGACCGTGACGATCGAAGTCGGGTTGCATGCACCTTTCACCATAATTTTCGTTTGTTTTCCTGTTTTGCAACGAACCTGAACCCTAACGCACTTAATGAAGCAAAACTGCAGGGCGGACTGAAAAAGGTCATCTCTCTAGCTACTAGTAGTAGCTAGCTAGCTTTCATTAGTACTGTACGGTACTATAGCATGGGGGCAAGAAACCATCCACGTCGCAAGGAACCGATTTGCGTACCGGTATGATTCAACTGAGAAGCTCGAAATTAAGCCAGCGGAGCTGTGTAACCTCGGCAGAAAGGTTTCAGTGTAGAAGCAGATACCCCTATTAGGTAGTTAGGTAGCTAGCTAGAAGCAGATACCTCTAGTGCTTAGCTAGTGCTTAACTTGCGCTTAGCTAGCTGGAAGCAGATTCCCCCTAGCTAGAAGCAGATTCCCATTCAGATACCCTAGCTAGCTAGAATACTAGTTATATAGCTTTCGCTGGCTTTAGAGTTTTTCCTGGTAGAAGCAGATCCCCCTACTAGAATGCATGTAAATAGCTTTAGCTGGTGTAAAAGCACCATCCTAGGATACTTATTTAGTTTTTGCTGACTTACTTGTATTCTAACCCTACCCTTATACCTGCAGGGACCACCATAGCAGGAAAAACAATTAAAGGGGTTGAGGGCTCTGGCAGCAAGACTGCCGAGGTAAAGTCACTGTATGTTGATGGTGAGCATCCCGGATTACATGTTTGACTTCAGTCCAACAGGACAGCAGCAGCCAGCCAGCATGACTTTCACGGCCGCTCCTTTCCAAGTACGGACGTCATCGTAGTTTCGGGGGGCCAACATGAATGTCTAATGCTTTGAAACGACGAGCCTTGAGATTGCTACCTAAAAGTAGTTGCGCTCGAGTCGAGTCCAACCATCCTCCTCCTCGGCGGTCGGCGGTACGTAGGTGCTGGTGCCCTCGAGGAGGTGAAGAGTTTGTTGGGATTATTGGTCGAAGCCCGGTGCGCGTGCAGCAGCTGGAATACCCTCATCCTTCGGGGTCAGTGGCTTGCCCGCGAAGACCACAATGTCATATTGTCTTTTTAAAAAAAACTCACACGGGGGTCTCTAGAGGTAGACTAGCTAGAGCATAGGTAGATTTCTACGGAAGCCGATTTGAGTTTGATAACTCGGAGGAACAACCAAAGAGCAACCGATCACTGTTGCGGAGCAAGGGGTTGTGAATACGTGATCGCAACATCAGCCGCTCTGCTCTGCAAGGCCTACTATCAACGTGTGTTTGCTCACGTTTCCCTTCCTGCAACTTGGATGGGGAAGCCACCCTTCATCTTGGAGATTAATGGAAAGGGTATAAGGGTGCCATCATGTCCTTGAATATCTTTAAATTCAAATCTTTGGACCAGATAAGCCAGTGCCAACTTGAGTGTGTTGATAGCCATAGGTTTTCCAAGACACATCCTCTTTCCTGCATTGAAGACAATGTTTCTAAACACTGAGGGCTCCCTTTGTTGGAAAAACCTTGTCGGCTTGAACTCGCCAGCATCACTACCCCAAGCACGAATGCTCCTTCCCATAGCTAGTGCTGTATATGACACCATGGCTCCATTGGGGATAAAGGTTCCATCAGGTAGGATGTCATCATCGACAGCATACTTGGATTGCTTGGGAACAGAGGGATGAAGCCGAAGAACCTCCATGACAACAGCATCAATGTATTTCAGCTTTTGAATTGTGTCAAATGAGTAATCTCCATCGTTGTCGCCATCGATCCTGCCACAGATTTCATTTGCCTCTTCCAGCATGTTCGCCACTATTTCAGGATGCTTGCAGAGCTCAAAGAGTGCCCAGGAGAGAGCCACAGCAGTGGTGTCACGGCCAGCCACCAAGAAATTCAAAATGATATCCCTTAGCTCTTCATCTGAAATGGGGTCATTCTGATTGGTGGCATAATCCATGAATCGACTGAGAATGTCCGGGCCAAGTGTCCCGTCCTTGGCTGTTCGTCTTCGCCCCTGAATGATTTCCTTGGCATTCTCATCAAGAATGACCTTGAGCTCACGGATCCTTTTTTCTCTTGGGCCAACATTGAAGAACCGTTTCAGCTCAAACAAAGGATCTCCCAATCGCTCAACCATGAGTTCTTGCATTTCATCAAATGCTAGGGCAAAAGGATGTTGTGTTTCACTCTGGAGGCTTCCATATTCTACCCCAAATGACACGACACATGTGATATCAAAGGTCATGCGAAAAAAGAAATCTTGAATGTCAATTTCCTTTCCAGTGCTTGAGGCAGCATTGAGGAGAGCTGACAGCTCTTGCACTTTCTTCAAAGTGACTTTGGAACCCTCTCGTACTAGATTTGTAGAGAACATGCGGGAGGCAATCTTTCGATGGTGATACCATGTTGGTCCATCCACCACAAAGATTCCGTTTCCCAAAAGTTCCGAGAACACACTTTGCACGAGATCACTTTTTTCATAGTTATCAAAATTGCTGCCAAGCACATGTTCCATGTTCTTTTCATCCGAGATGACAAAGTAGGACCCACTCATGGCACCAAGCTTGGGTACTGGGCCACCCCATGTAGACTGGTACTTGGCACAAAACTCGAGATCCGCCATGTACATGCGATCACCGTACTCCAGCATGAATTTTAGGATTCCAATCAGTGGGTGCCTTTTGGGACCTGGTAAGGACTTGTCTACAGCATGCGGCTTGAAACGGGTGTAGAGTTGAAGGATCACGGCAAAGACCAGGACGGCAATCGTGGTGACAGCAACGATGCTGCCTTGGATATCTCCATGTATATCTGCAGTATTGTTGATGCCCATTGATTGATTCATTTCTGCCAAGAGGCAGGATTGGAGATGCTGTGGTTGTAAGAAGTTCTTTTGACTTTGAATACCTTTACTACTTCGAGGTCTTAGCTGTCGTCGTTAATGGCTATATTTCAACTCTATTTAAATTTATGAGCGCTGGATCGATCTTCCTTATTCTTCTGGCAAAGGCTCGACGCTACCGGAGATGTGGGTTGCATGTCATGCAAGGTCCCAACATGCTGGCAGACTGGATAGCATGTTGCGATCGAGTTAGAATCGGTTCAACTAATCGAAGTATTTGTTCAATCGAACAGCTTGAGTTGAACCCAAACCCTACAAAATAGATGAGTCGGAACAACTGCTCCTGACCGTTTTGCAATAGATAACGGGTTTCGTTATCCCAGAAGCCAGTTTTGCGCCTTTGCACATCATAAGACTTAGTTGCCCTGCTTGCGCCCTTGATTGCCTGCCTTGCGTTCCTGCGTCGTGCCCCCCTTGACCTCTGTCTCCGTCCTCCTCTTAGCTCTCTCTAATCCCTAGTAAACCCGATTCAACATAAGACTTAGTTTCCTGTTCTGTTCGAGTTGAGTTGAGTTGAGTTGAGTTGACCATGACGAAGGCCCGTTCTAGCAGCCAACCAGCAGCAGGTAGCAAGAGGAGTGCTTCACTACCCAAGAATGGTTCTAGAGCTAGTATAACCAATGCCAAGAAGAAACCGAGAGCTAGTTCGGTTCCTCCACAAAAGAAAAAGGCAACGGTTACAGCATCAGCTGCCGCCAAGCGAAAGAGTGCTCCACCTAGTAAGAAAACTCCTGCAGCAGTCAAGAAGAAGCCAACCAAATCCACTACTAGCACTGCCAAGACGAGTACCACCAGCAAAGCCAACCCAAAGAAGTCTGTCAACAACAAACCTTCCACTGCTACCAAAACTAGTACTGCAACTGCTGCCAAGAAGAAAGCTACCTCTACCCCCACCAAACCTACTACCGGTAGCACCACTGCTGCCAAGACTGCTTCCACTAATAAGAAGAACACAGCACCAGCCAAAACCAAAAGCAATAGTACTACTTCATCTGCCACCACCAACAAGAAGAATGCTGCTACCACCAATAAGAAACAGGATACCCCCAAAGACACTCCCGAAGAAATTCCGTTAACTCCTGAAGAACAACACATTCAAAAACTACTAGGAGAAGGAGCCTACCATTTACCAGGCAATACCACTTGGTGGTCCGATTGGATCCAATATTTCGCCAACAATCATCCCCTCTTTAGCGCCTGCTTTCAACATCCACTCCATCCCATTTCCAAATGGATGAGACTGGTCCAGATTATTGGCAGTATCATGGTGGGACTGGTCATTACCAATATCATTTTCTTGCTATTCATTCAGAACGACAATCCACAAGATGAACTGGTTTCGGCATTGAAACCAAAACAATCCTTGGACGAAAAACGACAAATTATCGAAGATTACACCACGGTCGACTTGTCTCCGGGCATGTTATTGTTGTGGACGGCGGGCAGTGCCATTCATGCCGTGTGGGACAATACCGTCTGGTACGCCACATCGTGTGCCTGTATTACAGCCGATGCCGTGTGGGTCCGCAAAACCAAAAAATTCTGTAATGTCTTGGTTGTGACGGGTGTCATTATCATTGGTGCCGTGGCGACCTTGTCAGTCGTTATTCGAGCTCATGTCGAAGGAGGAGGAGAATTGGATTACTCGCAGTTAAACAACGGTGCAGCCAGTAACATTACACAATCCCTGGTCGATTCCAAATCCATTTCCAACAAGGAGAATTACGAATTCCTATTGAGTTATTTGGTCGAACTGGTATCGGCGTGGTTCTTTTGGTTCCCAGTCATTGAAACCATTCTCTTTTCGGGGGTACTGGCCAGACTCTGTTGTTGTGCGTGTGGACGAGAGTTGTGTGGTGGACGACCGGGCGAATTGCAACAGGAAGAAGAGGATATTGAAGCACAAAAAGAACAACCCAAGAACAATAAGAAGAATCAATCGACAAGCAACAACAAGAAGGCATCGACAGCCAACAACAAGAAGCCTTTGGCAGCCAACAAGAAGAAAACTGCCAAACAATCATAGATGAAGAAGGATGTGTTTGTTGGTTGAGTACCGGTACGAACAGTACTATCGATACTTGGGCGGCATTGACAATGTGGAAGACTCGAAGGATTGAATCGTTCGATTCCAACATGATGTGCGGTGTCGACTTGTAGCGTTGCCCCTGGCAGAACTAATCTGATCGTTTTTATTACCGTGGTGGCCATCAAAAGCTATTCGATTCTATGACACGACAACCGATATCCATGCAAAAAGCCTTGTTCGCAACACCCTACCGTACCCGAATGGATCCGCTGTTGCAGGCCCGGAAAGCTAGATTCAAAGGAAAAGTAAGTATACTGTGACAGCCCCTAAGATGTTATGTGAAGTCGGTGTTGGCCTGTCGGAACCACAGCTAGCTAGCAAGGCAAGCCATGGCCACGAAGCAGCAGGAGTTTCTTGTATTTGCAGATAGACTATAGATGTATAGATTAGACTACGGCACTGGTTAGTCTGGCCTGCATCTCTAGCTAGCTAGCTCAAGCTAGTTGCAATTCAACCTGTCTCCACAGTGCACACACGTAAGGTAAGATAGCAAGCAAATGGCTACTTCTCAGGTTGTGCATGGTGTAGTGATGTATTTGCAAGCTACTCTGGAACGACATCGGTATTACCAAACTCCCCTCCCGGTACTTTGTGATCTTTAGGCATTCCTTGTGATTCATAGACACAATCGACAGCTTTTCGTTTCATTTTGGTTCCCTTGCCTTTGATGCCCACATAGGTGATTTCGGTTCCCGCTTCGCCATTGTCGTCGTAGTTGGATTCGACAAAAATGGTCAATGTGGAAATGTTTTGAAATCTACCCGCCGGTCGCAAGGGATAATCAATGGTTCCTAATTCGGGCATGTGATGGGGCGGCAAGAGTTCCAATGTCATGGAGGGTTCCAATTCCCGCGCCGTATCAAAATCCAGATTCTCTCGCTCGGCAAACAACTTGACGATCCGTGGTGCTGCTACCCCGGCAGTATTACCCAGACTGTGAATGGATATGGTCTGGCACGAGACGGCTTCGGTAAAGGGAATCGTCAAGAGCAATTCGGGATCGTCTTCGGGGGAAGTCAAACTAGGGCGTGTCGAGAGACGTTCTTCGTGCAACTTGAGAATCGAGCGTCCGGCATTCGCCACTTCTTCGTTCAAACATTGCACGCGATCCAAATCCATTTGAGGACGCAGTGATAACCCCAAGTCGTCCGTGTGATCGCCATGGTCGTGAGAGTGGCCGCTGCATTCCGGGGGGTCCATCGTTATCTATCTTTCTGTTTATCTGTTTATCTTGTATTTGTTTCTTATGCTGTTTAGTTAGTTAGTGTGAGCGAGTGAGAAGCGAAGGCTGTTGCTTTGTTGACGCTTGTGCAATGGATGCTTTGATGGATACGACTGATGAGTCGTGTCTGTTTTGGATCTTCTTGGAGGATAGACTGTGAGATAAGCTGGCTAAGCTGCTAAGAATACTTTTGACCCAACCTAAAATCATTGTTTCAGTAGCTGTTTCTGTTAGGCATTCGAAAGCGCCCAGCACAGTACCAGGTACAATACCATACTAGCACTCCATGTGTGTTCCTCTTGGTCTTCTATCTATCCACCTTATCAGTCCTCCAGAACGTGGATTGTGTGTGTGATGGATCTACCCGTACTGGATGATGGATGCTCCAACCAGGGCCACAAGTTGTTATAGTACCCATGATTCAGCTACAAGTGCTATTTTAAAATAGTGCAGCTATCATCTATTATCGATCCGTTCTATGGCTTGTGTGCGTTTGATGGCTGCTGCGTTACCGCAAGAGATGCTACGAATTCACCCACATTGTGCAGATACCGACAGCGGCTGGCTTCCATGCAGCCATGCCATGATACTAGCTACTGTATCAACTTGGCTGCTTCCCTGATCAACTTGTTGGCTGGCTATCATATCTATCTATACCTGGATGTTGAATTGGAATTTTTGTAAACTCAGACACACTTCTCATTGGTCCTTCATAGAGTTCTCTCTCAATGGCAGCATCTACCAATTGATGGACTATTTTTTTTTTTAATACACACACCTCTCCCCAAGTGTCCACAAGCCAGCAAAACAACAGGCAACTCACGACCCATTCGCCGTGCGAGTCGAGTCGTCAGCTTACAGCACTAGAGTACCGAAACAGCGTACTACTAGTACTGCTGAGCTGCTATGTCACAGCTTATGTCATACTGGTACATATAAGTTAAATACGAGTATCAAGTACAGTACCGTAATAGTGTAATAGTATGGTAAGCACATGTATCATTGCCAGTCATCGGTACCAGTACTGTAGCGGTCCTGCATGCAGCCCCAAGTGCTTTTCGCGGGCTCGTGGATGCAGGCAACCACGGGAAGGGTCCGCAAGCAGGTTGCGGTTGCCGTTGAGGGCAGCATTTCGTGACCAGCATTTCTGCACACTTTTGAACTTTTGACCTGTCCAGTGGCTTTGCCGATTCATGCATGCCGATTGCTCGTGGGTTCGATGGTTCCATGGACCGATGAAGCACACAAACCGATTTCCATCCAACTACTAGTAACCAACCAACACAAAATTAACAAATGAGCACAATGACCAATAGTACCGATACTCAAGCGCCGCTGCCGTCCAGTGTAGTGGCGGTGGTTGTCATTGGCATCTTTCTACATTCTCTGTTTCGGGTCTACAGCCGCATCAAGCCAACGCCTGTGGATGAATCCTTGCCCGGACCAGAAAGACACCATTTTCTTGGAATCCTCAAGTTCTTTCTTAAAAATGCTAGCAACGTCCAGGAGGTCATTCTCGAAACAACCCAAAAGCACCAGTGCACATGGGGAGGACCAATGCCCAATTTTGGAGTCTCACAAGGGCCCTACTTTTGTGTCACGAACGAAAAGAACATTGAACACATGCTTTCCGGCAACTTTGAAAATTATGAAAAGGGGGATCATATTCGAAGTACATTTCGGGAACTCGTGGGGAATGGGATCTTTGTGGCCGATGGCCCAACTTGGTATCGCCACAGAAAAATCACCTCTCGGATGTTTTCCACCAATCTACTAAGAGAGTCGTCCAAAGTTACATTGAAGAAAGTGCAAGAGCTTTCAGATGTTTTGCAGAAGGCCCAGAACACCGGAAGACAAGTGGATGTTCAAGATCTCTTCTTTCGCATGACTTTTGATATCACATCCATTGTGGCCTTTGGAGCGGAATACGGAAGCTTGAATAATGAAACTCAGCATCCTTTTGCACAAGCATTTGATGAAATGCAGACACTCATGATTCAACGAGTGACCGATCCTTTCTTTGATTTCAAACGAACCTTACATATTGGCCAGAGAGAAAGGAGGATTCGTGAGCTCAAGGTCGTCCTTGATGAGAATGCCAACGAAATTGTCCAGGCACGAAGGCGTACATCCAAGGATGGGAACCTTGGTCCTGACATTCTCAGTCGATTCATTGACTATTCCAACAAGCATGACGATCCAATTTCAGATGTGGAGCTGAGGGATGTCATTATGAATGTAATGGCTGCTGGTCGGGACACCACAGCTGCTGCTCTCTCCTGGTCTCTCTTTGAGCTTATCAAGCATCCCGAAGTTGCGGAGAAGATGCTGCAAGAAGCAAATGAAGTTTGTGGCAAGGTAGACCATGACACTGACGGGGATTATTCCTATGATACTATTGGCAAGTTGAAATACATTGATGCTGTTGTCATGGAGGTTCTTCGATTGCACCCCTCTGTTCCAAAGGAGGTAAAATATGCTGTCAATGATGATGTTTTGCCCGATGGAACCTTCATTCCCAAGGGATCCATGGTGAGCTTTCCACCATATACCATGGGAAGGAGCAGGCATGTTTGGGGCAGTGATGCTGGTGAGTTCAAGCCTACAAGATTCTTGGACCAGAAAGAGCCATCAGCTTTTAAATTCACAGCCTTCAATGCAGGAAAGAGGTTGTGTCTTGGGAAACCCATGGCCCTCAACACACTCAAGTTGACACTGGTGTATTTGGTTCAAAGGTTTGAGTTCCAAGACACGAGAGGACATGATGGTTCCCTTCAGGGCTTTTCATTAATTGCCAAGATGAAGGGTGGCTTTCCCATGCAAGTCACATTGAGGCAAACAGAACATAGCCAATAGCAGTAACGTTAAAAGACTGGTGGATACTACTGTAACGAAATAATCCATGTGCGATCTGCTGTCGTCTCTGCGGGCAACATCGCGAGCGTGTTGACGTGCTATATGCGCCTCTCTCTGGAGACAAACATACTGGTTCCCGGTTCCTGTTCCAGCTATAGTGATAGAATGGCGTTATGGGCAGTGGACGGCGTCCTTGTTTTCGAAACGATCACCAGGATACGTACCGGTAGTCTGTGCTGTGGCTACCTGGTAGTCGTTCTCACGAATTGTTGCTTGCAAGAGATGGTCATCGTCCATAAGTGTTCTGTCCAGGCAGATTCAAGACCACCACACCTTTCGAGTGACTCACTCTTCATCCCTGTTAGCCCTGACTAATACCAGTATTCCTTCTAAAAAAATTGATGCTCGATCTTTTCGGCTGCATGCAGCCGGCTACCGTAGTACGGTGGAAAATGTCTGTGTCGTTTCATCTTTCCTCCTCCGCCAGCATTAGCTTTGCTGTGACGTTGCCCTCGCAATAGCGCTAACCTTGCAGATCATGGGCATTACCAACAGGCCCGCGTCAATTGGCGCTTCCTCAACATGGTGAATTGCGTGTTGGCCCGGACGCAGAACATCGCCATGAATACACCAGCCATGACGTACCGGTAGGATCGGGCGGCGACTCGAGTCCAGCCATCCATGGCGATACCGCTGCCATCGTTTTGCCATACCGTACTACCGTTGTTTATGTATGATCTGCGAAACAGTAAGCAAGGCCCCCATGAACCCATTCGATGTTATGCTTCTACAAACGTTGGCCCTGGTTCAGAAGAAGTTCCTGCTGTGGTTGGGAGAGCTGAAGCTCCAGTTTCCACGGCATTTCCCATCGTGGTTTTCTCCAAATCGAGGGACCAGGAACGGAAGCCAGTTGGGCTGACAACTCAAGTGGACACAGCTGTCTGTTTGATATCAACTTTGATGTTACCTACTGTACTAATTCGCACAAGGTCTACAAGGACGGTAGAACCAAGAAGGTGCCCAGTTGTTCTCGGCGGCCTGCTGGAGCCTTTTTCTGAAATGGAGGACTCAAGAACTGAAGGACGAATCAAAACCTGTAGATACACCATGTAGAGGGCAGCACTTGGCTGGGCAACTGGCTAGTAGGGTTCGCCTTGGCTTTTGCTTGGAACCTGGAACCTTGCATGAGCCTCAACAAGCCAAGCATCTGGACGGGGCTACTAGCTAGCCAGCGGCGAAGAGATTGGGGCTGGGTGCGAGCCGCAGAGCCGTCGACCTACTCTAGCTACCGGTAGCTAGGAGGACTGAGTCTAAAGCCTGGTTCATGAGGCACAGAGTGACAAGTAAGTCTCAGACGGACTGAACTCGTCACAAGGCTTCCACGTCGAGACCTGCATCGATATTGGGAGTTGGAACCTTGTAGAACGGCGTGACTTAATATGGTCATCGTGTTTGCTCCCACAAACTTTGGATGCATCGGGACTGTTCGCTCTGCTGGGTGGCGTGTGGCATGTGGACGCTCCTTATATGTTTGGCAATTACGTTAAATCTACGAGCCAGCGAAACCTAGTAAAAGAGTGTAAAGGTGACTACTCTGAGTACAATTTGCTTATGGGGATTCTTGGAATGTCTTGAGAAAGGTGATTATTTAGAATGGTATCTGGGACTGCTGCCACATGACTTTCCGGTGGCCAACAGCTGTGTCCAAACATCCGAACGTCAGATCTCGATTTGGCTCCACTTTTTGCTTCCTTCCGCGAGATCCTTCATTTTTCTCACTGTTTCTCACTACTATATTTTTTGGTAGAGCATCTGACTACTACAGTAGTGTAGAGATCAAGAGATAGATAAGACAATGATGAAAGGCCGTCGCAAGAGCACAATGAATCAAGGGGCCGCCGAGTCGTTCGATGACAATGATCACATCCGCGTGTCTTCTACTCCAACTTCGAAGCGTCGCAATACGGTATTTGGGGGAATGTTTGGCAAGAACAACAAGGACAAGGGTGTGGCGAAGACCGACGACGACGAGACTGCTAGTACCATGTACAGTACAGAGTCTCTCAAGGGACGTAACCCCTTTGAAAAAGATGCAATGCCACGCAAAAGTGTACCCCAGCCATCCATGCCTTCCAACGACAGCCGCAGAGCTTCGACGGGTTCTTCTACTAGATCAACTACTAGTAGTAGTAGTAGTAACAACAAGTCGAACCCTCTCAATGGCCGCAATCCGGTGGACTTTGACAAGGCCAATGTCGACTTTGAGTTTGACAACAGTCACAACAGCCACAACAGCAAGCCAACGGTGGTGTCGCGTTCGACCACGCGCAATCACACTTTGACTGGTCGTAATCCCGTTGATTTTGATGCCGTTGATCCCTACGGGAATCCCATTCATCGTTCCTCCAATAAACCACGAGATTTCAATGACGGTATTCCTCGAGATCCCTACGGAAATCCCATTGGTCAGGACAATGGCTTGGGCGGACGCAATCCACGAGATTTTGACGGCTGTGATCCCTATGGCAATCCCATTCATCGTTCTTCCAATCGTAATGCTGCTAGTCAGGGCCACAACGATGACCCATTGGCGGGACGAAACCCCGTCGATTTTGATGGCGTTCCTCGTGATCCCTATGGAAATCCAATCCAGGATGGTGACAATTCCAACAATAAGAACAACAAGAAGAACAACCGCAAGAGCACTGCCAACCAGAACAAGAACAAGAACAACAATAAGAATAAGACCAGGGGCAATCCTCTAGCCGGACGCAATCCAGTCGATTTTGACGGGGCAAAGGACAAAAACAACAAGAACAGCAACAATCGAACCAAAGCCGATCCAGATGGCTTGCGCTATTCCGAGCACCTCGAAAGAAATCATACTTGCCGCACGTGCCCCCGGTGCAGTCGTTGCAACTGCGAACCAGACAACAATGACAACGACAACAACAACAATGACGACGCTGCCTCTGCAGACGAAAAACGCAAACGCGAGGAGGAGGCGCGTCGCATTGCCGCGTGGCAGAAACGTCAGCAAGATCAAGTGGCGGCAGCAGCCGCCAAAAAGCAAGAGCAAGCAAATGCCAACCAAAAGAACAAAGCAGAGGAAGAAGCTCGACGCAAAGCGGCTGCCGCAGCAGAGAAGAAATGCAAGGAAGAACAAGAGGAAGCCAAACGACAAGCCGAAAAAGAGGCTCGACGCAAGGCTGCCGCAGAGCAGAAACGCAAGGAAGAACAAGAGGCAGCCGCCAAGGAACAAGAGGCCGCTGAAAAGCAAGCACAAGCCGAAGAAAAGGCACGCAAGATCAAGGAATCCGCCCGCAAAGCAAAGGAAGCAGAGGAAGCCGATCGCAAGGCCAAGGAAGATGCCATTTTGCGAGAAAAGAAGGAAGCGGAACGCAAAGCAGCACTCGAACAACAACAAGAAAAAAAGAACCAAAGAGGAGGAACGATTCAGCATTTGGATGGCAGTGCCAAACACAACGGGGAGCAAGTCGATCTGGACCATGCCGAAACCATTAAACGGGAAATCCAAGAGGATGTGCCGGAATGGACCAATGCCAAACTCAAAACCACCAAACGGGGCAGTGTCATTCGACAAAGCAAAGGAGAACGGGAAAAGTTCTCCCTTCCGACATTTCATCATCCTCGGGCACCTGTGCAGCAGTAGAGAGACAGGATTGTGGATTGGCTTGGAAATATACTAGTACTAGTAGTTCTGTACTTGTTTTAAAACGTATGACAGGTGATTTTGTTCCATTGTTGTCTTATCCTCTTTTTAAAATATTTTAGTAATTCTAGCCGGCATCCATCAGATCAGACAGCACATCCAATAAGGACGATGAGAAAGATGCACCACGACGTCACCGAAGCTGAGGAAACTGCCAAAGACACATGCACGCCATCCTCAGCAAATGACGAGCCGTCAGTGGTATCAGAGTTCTGGATCTTGTTTGTAGTTGCTCCTCTAGTATCAGATTCGTTTTTGTCGCCTATCTCATCTTTGGTACAAATATTGAGTTGACAAGTGCTGCCAGACACACAATCAGAATCCATTCCACAGGGATCGCCCTCGTTGGACAAGTAGGCCGTATCGCAAGTGCTCGTGGCACAACACTCCCCGACATTGTTGGTTGCATCAGCCTGCCAATCCCACACAAGGACGTCTCCGCCTAAATCCACCGTGCCAAAGGGGGTACTGTCATCATAGCCCGCAAACCGCGGGTTCTCGCCCTCCGGAAAGGTATTGCACGCACTAAACAGATTGGGTTGCCAGTCGGTGCCAATGTAGGGGAAGTACGTCAAATAGTTGTCACACATTTCTTCGCTTGTCGACTCTCCACCGGGGACATCCTGGTCCACAGTAGTGGTATCATAGGTGCATGTGGTTACCAAGGCATCTCCCGGTAGAATCTTGACCGGGGGGTCGAGATGATAAGACTGCTGGTTGTCAAATTCAAAGTCTTCAATGCGGCCAATCTCCCCAATCTTGACACCACAGCGGTAATGTTCTGTTACCAATGTTTTGCCATACAAATGCATGTGAGGATTCCAGGAATACACCCACATTGGCGATGAAAGCAACTGTGTGGCTGTGCTGGGACATAGATTGGTTAGAGCAAAGGATTCCTGCTGCTTTGGTACCAAAAACTGCCTGTCCCAATAGCTCATGCCCAGTACAGACAAGCCTCCAGTCAGAGGTCTTGGTGTTGCCGTGAAGGACAGACGCATTCCAGATTGATCCGACTGAGCAATTCCTTGGGAATTGTCATAGTGAGCTTCCACTTTGAAAACGGAAGACGTAAAAAATTCAATGTAGCTGCCCACATTGGGATGTTCACACCATTCGGTTGGCCCAACTGCCCACCCTGCGACGATCTGACAATTGGATTCCATCCCCGAGCATTCATACGACCCTTGTCCCACTTTGTTTCCATCAGAGCTGTCTTGGCCCATACAGTGGTAAATCCACATGTGGTGTAGGACGTTGGGATTGTCTACCAGTGCTTCGGTCTTGATTTGCTGAAGGGCGGCAAGTGGATCTGGCGACTCCACCACGAGCTGTTCACAACGATAATGCGTACGACTTGCGTTCATTTCGTTGGCAGTCGTGAAGTTGATGTCAAGAACTTGTACATCGGGCGGAGCCTCATAGGATTCGCAAGGATTGGGCACAGTGTCTTTAGGGTTATCCACAATGCCGGGATGGGATAGAGCAGGCCCAGCTGGTTCTTCACCTGGTGACCACTCACAGCTGGGATCTCCAAGCTCTTCACCATTGGATCTTCCATCCCCATCTGAATCGGCTTCACAAAGAGGGATTGTCCATTCAAATCCGTTGGAAGCAAAGTCTAGACCAAAAGGATTGCGAGCACCCCCACCGGCGGCGTTGTCATGGCCAACGCCCGCCCACACGCCGCCCTGGGGCCCAGGATGAGGTACCGAGCGACCATTAGGAATACGAGCCGCATAGTCGGGACGTGCCAAGGCGAAAGGAGAGAGAAAAAGTGAGATGTAAGCAAGAGAGAGGTTCATTTTTTTATGTGAGCGAAGTCGCATGTTCCTTTTGTGAGCTCGAGACCGCTTTCCTCAAAGTCGTTGTTCGTTTGGTGAGCTTTTGAGATTGTGAGCTCGAGAGAGGCGGAAACCAAAACTCACGTTCCACAAAGATCTTTGCCATCCCCGCACGACTCGAGCACCCAGCGGGCCACCCAGTGGGACCTTGTGCTCTCTTTTCTCTCCCCAGAGATCGAGTTCATCCAATTAGCCGGATAGCCATAGCTCCACTAGCTAGCCAGAGAGCCAAAGAACGAAGAGGAGCGTTGTTTCGTTTATTATCGCTGTGGGAGGGCCGGGGTGTCCAGCCAGGGCGCAAAGCTCCGTAATGATTGGCCTTTTAAAATGAGACATCAAGTCAACACCACGACCGCTAATTCACCTTTAGATTGAATCGAATCCCCCTGCCAGGGCGGATCTATGAACACGAGATATCTTGCCCCGACAGGAGCTGAGTCGGCGGTCGTCAGCATTGGCAAAATCAAGATGACAGCGAACCTCGGTGCAAACATGATAACAATGTTGTGACCCTTCTGGCTAAGGGATATCTATCTTGTGGCACGTGAAAAAAACAAAAGGATGGATCAAACGTTTACCAGGTACCTTTAATAAAGTAGTATGCAGATTTCAGAAATGAAACCTTAGTTCTAACTTGCAAGAGCCCTCTCTTTCTCATATCGTGTGCAGCCTTCCCTCGCCTAAGTTACATCCAGTCATCGAAACGTGCTTCCTTTGTAACACTTGTGTTGCTTGGATCCACATTAGCCAAGGTTTCCTGCTCCTGTGACGAGCGAGAAGCAAAACTTTTAATACGCCGATCCACACTCATGTCCATGGACCCTATAGTAGAGGCAAGAGCAGCGGAACGGTCACAAGAGGCCACAACCCAGTCTGGCAGACAATCAAAGAAGACAATGTTGAGTTGAGAAAGGTACTGGAAGTCCCAGGCACTGAAGCTATGTCAAACTTACAGGTTTGCATTTCTCCTTTGCCTTTTGCTGTGATCTTGTCTTCACGGGGAGTCAACCAATGTTCCTTCCCAGCCTGCTTTAAAAGTTGGGCTGTTGATTCTGATACATGGATGCTGTTGGGAACCCCATTGCTCTCCATGCGGGAGGCTGTGTTGACCGTCTGTGGTGATTGAATCAGAAGGAAGAAAAAGGTCTGAGCAACGTGCTTTCCACCTTGGCAATCCTAGCTGTTTGGCCACAAGCAAACCAAGTTACTTACATCACCAAATATCTGGAAGCGCTGCTTGCCTCCGCGCAACACACCCGCAGTCACCTGAAGCAAAGCATTAAAGATAAGGATTGTAGGGTGAGCACAGGTATATTTCAAACAGAACCACAGTCTAGGGTTCAAATCCAAGAATGGGACATACCAGTCCACTGTGCATGCCAACTCGAATTAGCAAGTTCAGAAGTGTCCTTGCCCAATTTCTCACACAGTTCTCCAAGAAGTGTCCTTGCCCACTTTCTCACACAGTTCTCCATCTTCATACACCAACTCCATTGCACTTTTCATGCAGTCAATTGCAAAACGAGCCTGCATCAAAACAAGGGAGGATAAAGAGCTGGTGAGATATGGAAGTCAGCAACCACCCAGCAATAGTTAGAGTTTGGTGTGCACATACCATGATCAAAGCATGTCCCGGCTGTCCTTTTGGTAGGCCTGTGACAGCCACATAGCTAAAGGAGTAGGAGCAATGATAGCCTCAGTTAGTTGCAGTTAAGTGTTTAATTCCAAACAAAAGGGTGGAGCGCTTCACCTACCAATCAACTAGTAGCACAAGAACAACAAGAGCATTCAGTGGTGAGCCACCTGCAAGTAAAAGGGGAACTGCTCAAGCAAGCTCAGCAGCAATCCAAGGTCGCTAGCACAAACCGATTGTTTCAATCTTGAACACCTTTCGGCGTTTAGCATTTGCATCAAAGGCAGCATACAATGTCTCTAGTAGCTGGAAGACTTCTACTGGTGTTCTACTGGAAGACCACTTAGTAAACCCTGATATGGTAGCCACAAGGAACAAAAGAAGAAGGCAAAGCAACTTAATATTCCCAGAGCAATCAGCAATGCAAATATGGCAACCCAAAGCTGATCTTTGCAAGCAGGCAACCTGTACTCACCAGCAATGTCACAAAAGAAGACTGTGCATTCAGGATACAAATCGGCATTGGCAGCAGGGGAGATATGGTCACAGGGGTGTGCTTCCAACCCGCCCCCAATTTGCTCCATGTTGGTAGTGCTTTCTTCGTAAAGACGTTCTCGGACTTGTTCTGTTGATTCATTCCATCAGAAAGTTAGTGAGGGCGATCAGAGTAGCAGCTGTACGAGAACGCCTGCATACACATACCTGGGAAGAGTGAATGAACAATGGCACCGGACTTTTCTGCTGACCTGACCACAATCTTCTGGCGTCGTTCCACACAGTAGTCGTACACAAGGAAAACGGAGGACGTAAAGACAAATACCATGGCCAAGGAAAGAGAAAACAACCATGCCCGATCCGTTCGATAGGTCGATTCAAAGAGCTGAGAAGGATAGACTCGGACACGGTAATTGGTGTCCAGGTGGCTGTTGTCTGAATCTTCCATGCGGGCACGAAAGGCTGCAGCGGCAGTGCCAGTCGTGTTGTTGTCCCCTGATGAGTCGGATTTCGACATTATGTACCCCACGGCTTCCAAATGATCGTACGAGCAGCTTCGATTTTATTGATTCAAACGCGTGCCGGCATTTCTGCTACAGTTCTACCAGAGCTCGTGTAGAAGTGTACTGAAAAGAGTGGCGCGCGTTTGAATCAATAAAATCGAAGCTGCCTGTACCCCGTATCGTGAAAATCATCATGACCTTCAAAGGTAGCATCGGTTCCATCGATGCGGTATGTGTACTGCTGTCCGGCCGTGTTCTCGAGCACCACCACAACACCATCAGTCCCTGTTGGGAGGAGCCGATGGAACAGAATCTGAAAGCGTTACAGTTCCTCCCACGACTCAGAGTATCCGTTGAGTAGATTGAGTCATGTTTTATGAGTCAACACGATGGAACAGAGAACGCTGGCAAGAACACGTTCTCAACGAAACCAAAGGACACGGTAAATTGGAGTATTCGACAGGAGTAAAGCATCCTGCCAACGAACCGTTTCCCGCAGATACACGTTGACTTCCGTATGAACCAGATCAACTACCACGATGCATTGATCCAACACGCTACCAACTAGCTTTACTGATCGCATCAATCAAAGCTCACAACACAGATTATGAATTACTAAGAAGCGAACTTTGCATTTACCTTGCACTCGTCTTGAATAGTTCAGTTGATCTCGTTGGGTGTAGCTACCTCTACAAGTCCCTCTATTCAAGTAGTTATTTCCCACGTTAGCAGATTAACAGTCGCAGTTACGCACTGCCACACCTCCACAAGATGGCCGATGAAGCAGCCAAGCTCAAGCATGTCCTATGCACCCTATGCGGCGAAGACGCTTCCACACAGGGTACACTGCATCTCACAATGCGCATCGCACTGTCTGAACAAGGAATCGACGATGGATGGATCTCCTACTTCTCACCAAAGATGAAGTTATGGATCTCCAAGCTTCGACGACACCAACGGCGCTCAAGACAGTACCTCTCACCAGGAAGAAGCTACTGCTCGCGGCGATACAGATGTATCACATTGGTCGTCCAAGAGGAAGGCCCCCATCCGCGTCGTATCACTGACGGCCGACGCACTCGACGTTTTCAGAGTTGGACTCTTCCAGCCACACGGCGAAATCGTCCATGGCAACAAATGAGACGCAGCGATGCCACGATGACCGATGGGGCGTGCAATCGCACTTTGGGACAAGAACAACAAAGCCCGTCCGCTCAGAGTTCAGAGAGTTTCGCGACGAATCAGTCTTCATCAAATGGAAGGAAGAACTTCCTCAACACGCTCAAATCTCAAGGTCTCTCCCACCTCTTTGATTCTGACTTCACGGTCACCAACGTCGAACTAGACGAGAAACAACGAGAATGGATGTACAAGACCTTCGAAGACATCTTCCAGAAGCACAGGCAAGATTGTCGTCCTTGCCAACGAAACCAACAAGACACTCGTGTGATCTGGAAGGCAATTGACGAATATTACTCCAAGTCCATGGTGGCAACCCTGCGCTCGGATAAGATTCGTGTTATCTCACCTCCGCCGATACGCAGAAGGTGTATGGAGAGGGTCCCAAGCTGGTTTCATCTCCAACTTCCTCTCGAACAATTTCGGCAGTACAATGAGATCAGCGACGAGCCGTACACTGACCAACAGGGGGCACGTTTCTTGGAACGCTCAATCTCCAGGCACCAAATCTCGCCCCTGTACGACGTCTCGCACTGCAGACCAAGAAAGCTGCAGGCGACACCTCCCAGTATACTCTCGAGCAGTACCGAGCAGCCTTCTCGAGCAAGCACAACTGCATGACAATGCAAATCATGCGACGTCCACACGCTCTCGAAGCAACGCTCGTCGTCGCACCTACCAACACGAAATTCTCTTCGACGATGGTACAGCGGAAACCTGTGACGACACCTATGAGGCATTCGTCATGATATGGATACACCGGTGGAGTCCTATTGAAGCTCATCAGACAGACACTCGTGTCCACGCAAGGTCATGATGAACGCAACCATGGCGGTCGTTGTCCAAGTCGGATCAAGAGCATGGGATAATATCTCCGAGCAGGGCAAGAAGAGCATTCTTGACTACACGCTGACCTAGCTGTTCGACGTAGTCACCACAACTCTGGGCAATCACGCCCATCCGCTCAGTCAACTCCCACGACCTCCTCGACGTGGGCAGCACCACGCCACGAGCAGGCAACCTAGAAGTGTCCTCGCACCAACCAAGTCCAACAAGACGGACACTGACCTATTGCAGCTCGCGTGCAACAAGACGCATTCAACGCCAACGTCCTTCGCCGGTGATATCGCGTCCGTCTTATCACAGTCGACCAATACGGCTACACGCGAGGTACGAGTCCACGAGGTTGATCGCTCATCCTACGAGTCCTACTCCCACGAGATGTTGTTCAGCGAGCCAGAGATTGACCCTGATTGGCACCCTTCGTATATTTCTCTGATGAATCGATGACAGCCAAACACAACCCTCTCGTGAAAATACGACGGCACCAGTGACCTCCTCGACGTACCAACGAAGCGGACTCCTCAAATGCCCGCACTCGATGATGAGAAGCAATCCTTCCATCCGGTGATCAGGCTTTCTCACAGTTTGCTTACGGTACTTCCCAATACGAGGCTATTGATACGAATATCCAAAAGCAAATCCAAGAGGATCATAAAGGTACCACCCCTTCGACCCGCAAGTTCTGTGCAATGAACCCTTCGACTCTGGACACGTCGACGCATCTCCTCGGCCATGGAAGCACAGCTAATAACCTACACACCTCTGTGATTGGACCACTCATGCTCCACATATCATCAATTCAGCAACCTGGCGATACACTCTTGCTTCGTCAACGCCAAGTGCCACAAGCTTGAGCAACAGCTCTTGGCCAATCTTACAGTCGGAAAAGCACCCGTACAAGGAGGCACCTATTGCGGAGATACCGCTGTATGATCCGATTCGTAGCCTCGATATTTCCAACTCCAACTCGATCCTTCTTCTGATATTGGTAGTCATATCGACACTGACCTCAGGTTCGCGACACCAAACGAGGCTGACTTCCCGGAAGACTCTCCATGCGCCACATCAAAGGCACCCATGGAATCCGCAAGAGCTGTCCGACAACGCGAGTGCTCAGCAGACTCCTGCTGCGCTCGCACCTGCAACAGTAACGACATCTCTCTGCCACGATCCCTACAACCACGCCGGTCTCTGACGGCACTCAGATTCCTCTGGGTTCGTTACTGTCACCTCTTCCAAATCTCGAGGCCGAAAGGGCAAGGACACAAAGAAGGAACGGTCCAAGACGACCACAGGCACCCTTGGATCAATGCAACCTCATGTCACCACCCCGGTTACAGACAGGACACTGCTCTCATCCAGCTCATCTGAATCCAGGACGTTCCGACAGTTCCTACCGCCCCTCCGATGTATAACAACAGTATCACACTGAGATGCATCCAACTCCTTCGCTGCTCTTCAAGACCCGACGACGAGCAGGATTTTCATCAGGCCGGAACAACACTAAGCCAATGTGGTCCACAGGCCTCTTCACAAACGGCTATTGCCATAACTTTCGGGTACACTGTCACGCCACTCCTTCGCGGTACCTCCGATGCAGATGACAACACTCGTTCACTATTTATCGATACGCAGTTCAGGCACTCCACCTGTGATTCGACAAAGAAAGATCGCGGTTCCTTGTTGATAGGGGAGCCGAACGGCGGGATCCTTGGTAGATGCTCGCGTCATGTTTACACACCAACGCACAGGTTGATGTCACTGGCATCGACAACCATAGATGAACGTTCTGAAGATCGTTGATGGCGTTCGTAAAGTCACCTCACACCGAGGTCCCATCATAGTTGTGCTCCGCCAATATCCTACCATGGTATAAACCGTACCATCCATGCATCTGGTCAGATCGAGCACTACAAGAACCGAGTGATGATCGATCCTCTTCTATGTGGTGGCAGACATGCATCCACACAACGATTGCTTCATCATTCCTCTGGATATTGCCATGGACTCCCGTACATGCGAATGTGCCCTCCTTCTGACAATGAACTTGCAACACTCACCCATGTCATTCTGACATCTGGCGATTATATGGATCCCAAAGGTTCTCGACATTCAGACACATGAATCACGACTGACTGGTACAATCGTATCCAACTCGAAGATGATGCACTGCCCAACTATGCTTTCCGATTCACAAGGCATTACAAAACACGTGAACCGCATCATGCACCCACCTGTTGAACCAATCACTCCCTAGACGAGAGGGGGGGGATCCACTGGAGCATCAACCATGCTACCTTTCTCGAAGCCTATCAAGATTGTCTCGCAACCTCAACCAACCTGTGCATACTTGCAGAATACGTCTATTCTGCCTTTGATACTGATACCGTCCCGTCTAAACAACCACATCACTATCCCAGCACCGAGTCCACTCCTAAACCACCAGACTACAGAAAGTACAGCCCATTCTTCGCTCCACGTTCCCGTTGAAAAGATTCGCCGTACATTTTAGCGGACTACCCAACATGCGTCCAATATCCAAGCCTTGACATGGACATCAACTCAAGCACCATTAATCACCTTTCCCGCCATAAATGTATGG